TTTTTTTTTTTTTTTTTTTGCTGAGAAGAGACTTTTTAGTTTGACTCCATCCCATTTATTGATTCTTGGTTTTAATTCTTGTGCTATAGGATTCTTATTAAGGAAGCTGGGGCCTAATCCCACATGGTGGAGATTAGGGCCCACTTTTTCTTCTATTAGATGCAGGGTCTCTGGTTTAATTCCTAGGTCCTTGATTCACTTTGAGTTGAGTTTTGTGGGTGGTGAGAGATAGGGGTTTAATTTCATTTTGTTGCATATGGATTTCCAGTTTTCCAAGCACCATTTGTTGAAAAGGCTATCTTTTCTCCAGTGCATGTTTTTGGCACCTTTGTCTAATATAAGATAATTGTAATTTTGTGGGTTAGTGTCTGTGTCCTCTATTCTGTACCATTGGTGTACCAGTCTGTTTTGGTGCCAATACCATGCTGTTTTTGTTACTATTGCTCTGTAGTATAGTTTAAGGTCTAGTATAGTGATGCCACTTGCTTCACTCTTCCTGCTAAAGGATTGCTTATACTTCTAAAACAAAGTCTCAGAAACATATCACCATAATCCACAATAAAGGTCAATTAACCTCCAAATCAGAAGCTGCTCCTTCACTACAATGTTACCTCCCAACTGAGAAATAGCTGAAGTTTCAGTTTTAAAAGTCAATATTCTATTTAAAGGCATACTGAAAATTGTTGTTAATAAGCTGGTTAATGTACCATAATTTAAAAAGTTAATGTCATTAATTATCTTAAAAATGAATTCAATCCAGGAGACACATTATCAGACACCTATGCCTAGCCATCCATTTACCAAGTAGTGGCATGTGTCTAGAGGGATCCCCATACCTTACCAATTGATCTACAGAGTTGATTCAGCCCCTATTAAATTTCCAGCAGATTTTTTGAGAAATCAGTAAGCTTATATCTTTAATGTATATAGAGATGCAACAGATCTGAAGAAGCCAAGCAACCCTGAACAGGAGCAAGGTTGGAGGACTTATATGCCAGATCCCAAGTGTCACTATAAAGCTACAGTGTTTAAAGTGTCGTGTTGGGCTGAGGAAATAGCTCAGTGGTAAAGTGCCTGCCTAGCATGCATGAGGCCCTGAGTTCAATCCCTATCACCACATAAAAAATAAACAACAATAAAAATGATATTAAAAAATAAAGTGTAGTGTTAGTATAAGGAGGGACAAATGGACCCACAAAAAGAACAGAGTCTAAAAACAGACCACATATCTCATCACCTGGATTACGTCAAAGGGACTAATTCAGTGAGAAGAGAATTATGTTCTAGACAAATGATGCTGGAACAGATGACTGTCTATGCAGAAAAAGCCACTTGTGCCCCACACCTCATACTATATATGCAAATTAATGGTTTTTTAAAAAATTTTTTGGTTAGACACAATACCTTTATTTTGTTTATTTATTTATTTTTATATGGGGTTGAGGATCGAACCCAGGGCCTCACGCATGCTAGGCGAGCGTTCTACCACTGAGCCACAACCTCAGCCTGCAAATTAATGTTTTAGAGGCATCATGTCAACACCCCAAAAGTTTCTGTTTTCAGAGTATTTCAGATTTCATGTTTTAGAGTCACGGATGTTCAACCGTGTCAGACAAAATACTTATATCTAGGATAGCTAAGATATACAGGATATATACCTCCTCAAACTAATAAGAAAAAAGAAATGCTCCATTAAAATGGGGAAAAGATAAAAGCAGGTACTTCAGAAAAAGAGAATGGTCAAATGTCTCACAAACATAAAAAAAAGATATTTAACATCATTAAATCCACCATCATTATGGAAACACAAATTAAAATTGCAATGGCTTTCCATTATCTCCCCCATGAATACTAAGGACTGGGAAGGATGTGGACCATCTCCAATTCTCATCACTCCTGACAGGATCATAAAGTGGTCCACCACTTTTGAAGAGTTTACATAAGTTAACCCTATGGCCCAACAATTCCCAAAAGAAGAGGATGACTATTTCCACAAAAAGCCATGTATGACAACGTTCAGAAAAGCTTTAAACATCATAGCCCCAAACTGGAAACAACCCCACAGGCCCATCAACAGAAGAATGTGATATACTCAAGACAATGCAATACTAAGCCAGAACATATATAAAACATACATATAACAACAACATGGATCAATGTCACAGATATTAGATTGATTGAAAGAAGCCAGATGCACAATTCCATTTATATGAAATTAAAAAATGAGCAAAATTTTAAGATATGAAATCAGCATGGGTGCCCAACAACAGATAAATGGGAAAAGAAAATGTAGTATATACACAATGGAATACTATTCATCCATAAAGAGGAATAAAATCCTATCATTTGCAGCAAAATGAAATGAAGTGAGGACATCATGTTAAGTGAAATAATTCAGACACAAAAGCAAAGAGCTAAAAAATGTTAATTTGAAAACAGAATAACAGTTACTAGAGATTGGGATGGGTATGAGGAAGGAGGTAGGATAGGAAAAAGGAATTAGATTTGATTAAAACTCATATGAATGTAGGGAAATACCAAATCGAACCCTATTAAAATAGTCAATTAATACATGTTAATAAAAAATTGAAAACAAATGAACAACTCTTGTCAATGTTGACAGCTATTTGAGGATGGACATCAGGAAGAGCATGCAGGAGTCTCTAGGTACTCTATCAGTTTGGTGGTGGTTTACATGGGTGTATAGATATTGACATTTCATCAAGCTGTAAACTTTTTTTAAAAAAAACAGAAGTCAAATTTTATCAGTCAAAAATATTGTTTTATATACATAGAACTGAACTTCACTAGTTTTTTTTTTTTTTTAAGAACTGAACTCACCCATTTTTGTTATATATTTTTCTAAAGTTTTTCTAATAAACAAGGTCCTGGTGATCCCTGGGCTACATCAGGTAAGTACAACTACAATTTTGATACCAAGGTAAAGCGCTCTTTTGTGAAATTAATTTTCTTGCTCTAATTTTTTTTTAGTTTTAAAAAAATTTATTATTGGTGCATAAGTTACACTTGGACATACTAGGATATGCATATAATTTCATTCTCCAGTACCTCCCCAGTGCCTTCTCCTCCTCCCTCCCCAGGGTCCCCTCACTTTCTTACTGGTTTCCCTTCTATTTTCATGAAATCCCCCTTCTTTTTTCCACTCTAACAAATGAGAAGATATAACGCTGACTTTCTGAGTTTGCCTTATTTTGTTTAACTTGACAATGTCCCATTCCATCCATTTTCCTACAAATGACAGGATTTCATTCTTCTTTATGGCTGAGTAAAACTCCATTGTATAGATACACCATATTTTCTGTTTCCATTCATCTATTCGAAGACACTTAGGCTGGTTCCATAGTTTGGCTATTGTGAATTGTGCTACTATAAACATGGGTATGCATGTATCTCCACAGTACACTGAATTTAATTCTTTTAGGAAAATACCAAGGAGTGGTATAGCTGGGTCATATGGTAGTTCCATTCCTAATCTTTTGAAGAACCTTCACACTGATTTATATAGTATAAATTCATATAATTTACAATTCCAGGTAAAAGTGTTCCTTTTTCCCTTACATCTTCACCAGCATTTATTATTTATATTCTTGAGTGAGATAAAATCCCAATGTAGTTTTGATTTGCATTTCCCACTGCTAGTGATTTTTAACACTTTTTTCATGTTTGTTAGCTTTTTTTTTTTTTTTTTGAGTAATGCCTCTTTAGTTCATTTGCCCATTTATTTACTGGGTTATTGGTTTTATCAGTGTTGTGTTTCAAGCTGTAAACTTATCATCTCTGTACTTGACTGCATGTTATACTTTAATTAAAATAAAGAAGACTGGCTTACTTGCAAAATCCAAAAGCCTTAAGATATGAACAAAGAGGTCTTCTGGCTTTTTTGTCTTCTTTGGCTTCTAGGACCCCTGCGGTGAACTCATACAGCTCTGATGGGATTTTGGCATCTGCTCTCTCCAAGTAGCGCAGAACACCAACTGCATGGCTCGCATTTCTCTCCGTTAGCAATAGGACAGATTTGGTTTTCTTATCTCCCTGCTCTGCAGGAGAACCCTTAAAATGGGAGTAAATAAAGAAAGCAAATCATTCACACCAGTCTCAGTGAAACTTTATGGACTCTAAATTTGTCATTACACAGAAAATGATAGTCAAACCTGTTCAGTTAAACTCTGAAAATGATCTGACATGCAGTATAGGCGTCCACCAAATATCTTTGGTGAGGAAGGGAAGCTGAAGTGAATTACACACGTGGCATCAGTGATGGCCAAGAGTGGTATGCAATCGTCAGTTAAGGCTGGAGGAAAGATTTCAACAATTTCCCATGAGCTGCACTTACTTTAATAAGCAGTCCCCAAAACCATCCTGCAAAGCATTTCTGTACTATATTTTACTTTATTTCTTGCAATGCTAGGGATCAAACCACAATCTCATACTTACTATGCCAGTACTCTACCATGAAGCTATATCCTCAATCCTTCATTTTACTTTTTAGATGCAAAGAAACTTCTTACCCACTTTCTTCCCCAAAAGCCCCACACCAGTGATTAATTCCAGAGACAAGTGGCTTCATTTTTAGCTTGAAAAATGTCTTTTTCTATTACAAATCCAGGCTGCCCAGATCTTTTCTTTTTTTTTTATACATTCTAACTTTTGTATTTCTAATATTTAACCTTTTTTATAATTTATGATGTTTCAATATAGGTACAGATGCACTATGTACAGCTAGATACAGACTTTATAGACTACATATACACAGATTTTATATATACAACAGTAATCCTCAAGCTAGAATTCCAGGTAAAGTGTCTAGATCAACGGTTGCTGCCTATTGACCTATGAGCTCTGAGGCACCTAGATTCATCTCAATATGAGAATCTTTTTGGAGGTTAATTTTCATTTTAAAATTAACATTACTAATAAATTCTGAGTAAATCTTGGAAATAATGAGAAATATGGAGGTGAAATATATAAATTAAGACATGATTCCTATGAGCTAACCTTTGTCTAAATAGAAGTAGAAACTAAAACACTTACCTAATACAATATGGGAGCCAGAACTTAATTTCTTCTTCCAATGTTCTAAAACACTTTTTAAGTTAAAAACCATTTCTTTATGCATTTTCAAGCAAAATATTGAATTGCTTTCTACTACCTAAAGGTAAAACCACAGAAGCCAGTTCAAAATAAGGAACATGAGCTTGAAGCCAGCTGTCTCATCAAGTATCAAAGTATTCAACTGTAAATCACCTCACTGACCCAGTAATTCTTTGAAATGACTATGAAATTAAGTAAATATATCTCCAAAGTTCTGTTGTAGTTCATATAAAAATTTGCTCAAGTGAAACAAACATCATTTTGCTAAAACTATTTCCCTTCCTTTTAAAAATAATACATATACACATATGTATGTATAAGTATATATAAAATACATGGTACTGTTGTCAACAAGGTTTTTTTTTTTTTTTTCTTTCCCTTCTAGTACTGGGGATTAGGGCCTCACACATGCTTGGCAAGCACTCTACCATTGAGCTATATCCCCAGTCCAATAATGGCCTTTTAACTGTACTGTTTAGCTCATTATTATGTACCGAAAGATGTACTACAGCTTCTTTTAATTTTTGTATTTAGCTTTGTACATTTTGGCAATTAATTAGCATTTTACAATTAATATGAAATTAGATAAAACTGAATAAGTCTTTAGCCAATTTATTTGGCTTTTCTGGTTACATGACAGTATGTTTTACTGTTATCTTCACAACTTTTTAAAATAGAGAGTAGTGATGTGGGCATTTTGTTCATCAACTGGACCCTTTCATGTTCTACCTTGACAGACCACCTGGCACTGTTCCCTGAGCCTTACTCCCCATGTGGGACCGTGCTTCAGGAAAGGCAAGGATCCTCCCCCAGGCCAGACCTCCAGCTGTCAGTGCTTCCCAGCAGAGCCCACCTCCTCTTCTGATTGATGTTAAACTTGCAAAATGGCATCTCCCCACCACATATCAACTACCCAAGTCATTTTTTCCTCATTCAAGATTCAGCCACAATTTAAATCAACAGGACAGGGACTCACCTTACACACTATTTCTGTTTCAGCTACAGAGCAAGTAAAGATCAAGGTCTTTTGTGCCTGACTTGGAGTGAAATCAAGAACTTGGAGTAAAGTTGAGGTTTTTTCACATTCTAGGCAAAGATGCACGACCTGGTAATGAAATTACCAGAAATGAAGTAATTTGATTTTTAAAATATTCAAAAAGTTCCAGTTTTACTTTTCATAGCTAAGTTATAATTTTAATAGAAAAGAATGCATAGGAAATCAAAACAAATTTAATTTACAATTATAGATTTGGGTATGAAATAGAAGCTACAGTCATCTAATATTAAGCCATGAAATACAGGCTGCTTGCTTGTGCTCATCAGCTCCCCTCCCATTCATTCATCACCTGTTGGACGTTGCCATAGAGAGCAGCCTCCTCTGGGGCTGTAATCACAATGTAGGGATCATTCATGAACTCTCTGATTAGATGTTCTATATGTCTGCTCCAATGAATGCCAACCGCAATGATCTGATGTGGTGCAGATTCCCTTTCTTCAACTTCAACATTTTTTTTAAAGTTATCTAATATAGCAAACATCTAAAAAATTGATATAATTTTTATTTCAAAAGACAGTAATAATTAGTTTGACAGAACATAATATGTAAAAAATTGCATATTTACTGTTTTCAGACAGGAGGAAGCCTTTCCAAAACAAAAGTAAAGAGAGAAACTCAAAAAGGAGAAAATATTTGTTTCGGCACTGGGGACTGAACCCAGGAGTGCTTTACAACTGAGCTACATATCCAGCCCTTATTATTTTTATTTTGAGACAGGATCTCATTAAGTTGCTTAGGGCCTCACTAAGTTGCTGAGGCTAGCCTCAAACTTGCAATCCTCCTGCCTCAGCCTCCCAAGTGACTAGGATTATAGGCATGCTCCTCTGAGAGAAAATGTAGCCAAATTCAGTGGTGCATACCTGTAATCACAGCGTGAGACTGTCTCAAATAAAAAACAAAAAGGACTGAGGACATAGCTCAGTGGTAGAATGCCCCTAGGTTCAATCTCTGGAAACACAAAGGGAAAAAAGAGGAAGGGGGGGGGGGGGGGGGGGGCAGCGAGGGGAGAGAAAGAGAATATCAATGAACATAAAGCCCCACTATAAATCAAATTAAAGCACAAAAAAACATCTTGGTAAATATGTGTTAACACATCTAATGGGATTAACATGCTCACATTTAAAAAGGTCAAAAAGTAATTACAAAAGATGACTGCACCACAAGAAAGAAAAGGAAATGATCTAGCAACTTTAGAAAATGAACATAATGATCAAAATGAATTAATGTTCAACTTAAGTAATCAAAGAAATACAAACTACAAGGCTAGACATGCAAACCAGTGGTAGAACACTGGCCCAGCATGCATGAAGCCCTGGTTCCATGCCTAGCACTGCAAAAAAAAAAAAAAAAAAAAAAGATGCAAACTGTACTAACAAGATCTGTTTACCAGCTAGCATGGAACAAAAAACCAGGCCAAGGCCTCCTACTGGTCGGAGGACAGCAAACATGGCATAAATTGTTATGCCCATGTGATTCAATATGCCCAATAATAATAATAACCTTTAGAACAGGAAGTAATAATACAATGCTGTTAACTGCAAAATGTGAATTATAAAATTATACATAAAATGTGCTCTTGATATTGAACACATGTATCAACAATTAGGAATTTTAAAAAGGAAGAAATAATCCAAAATAGTAGAATGATTGCCTTTGAGTGTAAGATGATTAGGGTATTGTATTTTTTTCAAGTGCTCTTCTCTATTTCTCAAAATTTTTTACAATAAAAATTATTGCTTTTATAATGAGAAAAACATTCATTATCTTAGTAAATCTTCCTGGGAGAGAAATGTTGCTTTTCAAAGAGAGATTTAACACTGGGAATGAAATTTCAAATAAACATTCTCTCTTCTAAATTATAGAAGTTAAAGGGATTTTTTTTTTTAGATTAACCAATTTATTCCTTAACTAGATCCTTTTTCCTGATTCTGTTAATACTTGAATTTTATCTATTTTAGAAGTATATGTATACATTTAGAATAGTAATAACATCTAAATAGATGCCATACTTACCTGCTCATTAGCTTCAAGGAATAACACTTCCACCTCATCCAACACTAGATGACAAAGTCTAAGAAATAACAAGCTTTGGTATGTGAGAAGTCTCAGGAGGCTATGTGGTGTTGTGACAATCACATCGCCTACATTTTAAAAGAAAAAACAATGCCCATTTTAGATTTGTTTTACAGGTTTTCACAACATTTCCTTTGCTAAGATTCCACATACTGCTGCTTCTCTCCTCAGGTGCCCACCCTGGCTGAGCCCTGTCAGTATGGGACAAGCCTTGGCACTCCTACCAGGTTCTGCACTCCTGAAAAGCAGGAGGCTTTTAGTCAACACTGTGTTCAGCATCTAGCAAGCAGTAAGTGGTCAGTAGAAAGTAGATGAATGAAATCCTGTAGTTTTCTCAGCAAAACAGATGTAGGTCAAGATTGAACCTACATCATGGATACCCATCAATGAGTGACAAGCTAGGCTATCACACAAGCCTGTCATCTGCAATCCCAGACCTGCCTGGGCAGGGTCCCCTGTCTTCTGTTGGGAAAGCCAAACTGCTTGGAAAGAATGCTTACACCCCCTTGGAAGCTTCATGTTTTTGGCTTCATCTTTGTGAAGTCCAATTGTTAATAACACAGGATGAAGAGGCCTGGAAGACATGCTATAGTCGCCCAGTAATTCAAAAATAAATTGGGCCTTTTTCCATCCTGGGCACACGATGACTGCAAGAGGCTGTAAAGACAAACAAATTCAAATAGTTTTGAACAGTAGTTAGAAATTGAACACAGTATATGTGAAACATCCAGAACATCTCCTTGTACACAATAAGTGCTACTTCAGGTTTTGCTACCACCATCATCACATAGGTTAGAAGAGTTAAAAATAATTTCATTAAAATAGATTTAGGGGACTGGGGTGATGGCTCAGTGGTAGAGCACTTGCCTAGCATGTGTGAGGCACTGGGTTCAATTCTCAGCACTGCATATAAATAAATAAAGATCCATTGACATCTAAAAAATATTTTAAAAAACAGATTTTAGACACATTGAGCTAGGTTTTCTTAGGGCTTAAGCTAAGTATTGCATAAGTATTAATTCATTTAATACATTCTTATGGGTAGGGCCTATTATTACTTCATCTCACAGATGAGGCATCTGAGGCACAGAGAAGTAAAGCCAGTTGCCCAAGGCTACACAGTTCATTCTTGGTAGCAACATGATTTGAACCTAGGAAGTCTGGCTCCAGATTTCCTGCTCCTAAGCCCAAGGATGAACTAACCACTTCCTGAGAGGGGCTTAAAAAGTGGATAACAGCTCTTTCTTAGGAAATTACCTTCTGAACCCTACCCTCCACTAGCCCACAGATTCTCTTGAAGGTGCACTGCCTACCAAATACCTTCCTGGACACTTGCTATCTATTAATCGAAGAGAAGCCTAGTTTTCTCTTTCCTTTAGACAGATTCAGATGATAGTTTCCAGGCACAGACCTGAAGGCAGGTTGACCACAGGGGCATGGAGAAAGTAGGGGAGACACAAGGGTCAAGACTTAAGATGGCCTCTTCTAACCCCAGCCATGGTTCTGCCTCAACACTAGCTATATATCATTAACAGGGCTTAGCTGTTAACAAACTGGTGAGGGATGAGGGGGATAAATTCATTCATTTGATTAAATCAATATCTAATAACCAGCTTGAATTCCAAAGGGAAATCATCAAACTGCATGGCATAATTAGAAAGAGAGCTAGTATCTGTTCTAACTGCAACTCTAAGCTCATTTCGTACTGCTGTTTCATCGTTTGACACATGGTGGAACCCTCTGGAGTGCACCCTTTGTGTTAGGATGGAGGTTTTACACCCATCAGTTCCAAGAGCCCAAACCAGAAAAGTGGACATCACTATTCATTGCCATTTGAACCCATACCCATTTCCCTTCTCTCCAGCTTTCTGTTACTTTCAGGTTATTACACATGGGGAAATTATTCTAAAACAGTGTGGGGTACTATGAGATATTGAAGAATGTAGAATAAGACAACAGAAACTTAACTTCTAAGCCCACTTTCACACCATATCAGCTGTCAATAATTCACCCAAGCAACTTATCATGACCTGGGTCTTCTCATGTATACAGTGGTGAGAATGATATACACCCTGACCACATCACATGGTTGCCATGACAATGACATGAATTAATGTGAGATCATTTTATAAATTCTATGTTCACCTCTAAAAGCCAGGGCTTTCCTGCTCAGCCCATGACCCACAACCCAGGCTTGGATGAGAATGAGTACAGGAGAACAGGTGACCAGGAGACGAGAAAGGCTACTTTCTCACTTTCTTCTATCTTGGCAGTTGGAAAACCAAACTGAGTAATGTAACCTGAACTTTACCAAAGGTCAAGTGTATAATTAAAAAAATAAAAATTTAATTCATTTTTGTTGTGAAACAAAATTGTCTTAAACTTACTCCGTTTCTACTTGGTAATGACTTGTAGCAGCCCCCAGTTTGCAAAATTGTAAGCAACGGTGGGAGGTACAACAAAGGGTCATTTCCACAGTGAGAAATGACAACCACATCACAGCCACGTGCTATGGGAGGCCAAGAGTAAGATTCAGTGTGACTGGGTCCCGGGAACTTATTTCTTTGAAGAGCCTACAAAAAAATCAACAACCAAAAACCACAATAAAGTAGAGAAAACAAACAACAGCTCCATATCATTGCCACTCTACTCCATCTACCACTCAGTATATACACATTGATTAATCTGATATTTTCTGAGACTTACCCTGGTAAGTCCCTCTGACTCTTTTCTCAGTACTATACTCCTATTATATAAAATTTTGTTTTCCTGGGCTCCAATCAAAAGGAACTGGATGGTGATCCACTAGAGCTCACTGGATCAAGGATGTGGTTTTTTGATCTTATTCTCCCAATAATCTGCCAGTCCACCAGCCTCCCTTGTACAGCATTTTAAAAACATGCTTTTATTCATTTGTTTATCTATGTATCTCTCACTAAACCAAATTCTCCAACAGAGTTCTCTAGCTACACTGATATAATTTTCTAAAAGACTGAGTTCAAGAGCACCATGAGCTCTGTGATCCCCCTCCCCAGAACCCTGAGTCCCAGATGCAAAGGTACTGCTTACTCTTCCGCCAACCTGAGAGCTTCCAGGTAGACAGGTGCAACCCATTTGGTCTTTCTTGGTGAACTTCTTTGTTGTATGAACATTTTGAAACAGCTTCTTGGCAAAGAATACAGGGGAAATACTTCTTTGTTATTTTTGAGACTGCATGTCTGAAAATATTTTTGTTCTACTCTCACATCTCATTACTATGTGAGTATGGATGTATAGGTGGAAATAACTTTTTTTTTCACCTCTAATCAACATCAATGTTTTTAGTTTCTTACTCACGTGAAAAATTGCCATAAAACACTGAAATCTTCTCAATAAATCTAGGGTTAAGCTTAGCAATAGTCCATATGTGCTTCAAAAATGATTTTATTCCAAAAAGACGATTATTGTCTACATGAAGTAACTCCTTTGGTGTTGCTATGAAGAAATCTGAGCTACCTGACTTCTGGTCTTGAGATGGGGACCATTTTTTCCTCTAGAAGATTTTGTGCTCTCTGAATCCAAGTTCAGATGCTTCAACCCCATACAGCTAATGTCTGTTCATAAGTTGTGCTGGCCAGTGTGAGACAGCTCAATGTGGAGATTTATTTCCATTAGGTTCAGGAAATGTTCCTGTGTTCTTCCTCAGAGATTTTTCTGCCCCTCCTGTAACTCTTTCCAAAAAGTTGAGCTAGTCAGCACCATGGTGTCTGTGACATCCTCCTCCCCAGACCCCTGAACTCCAAATGGAATAGTCTCTGATATCAACATGGAGCTTCCAGGTAGGCAGTGCAACCTGTGTGGTCTGTCTTCTATGATTCAGTCTGAAATTCCATTTTCAGATACTGCACCTCAAATTTTTTTTTTCCTCTTTGATTCATCTTGTTGCCTTTTTGTTCTACTTTCTGCTGGCTTCTATTTTATATCTCAAAACCATTTATTTTCAAAATTTTTTATAATATTTTGAACTTCTGAGAACCTTTTTTATTGATCTTTCTCTCCCCTTCTCCTCCCTCCTCTTTCCAGCAAAAGATGCCATACCTTCTTTCCTCTGAGGATATTTTTCGTTTCTTTCTTCCTTCCTTTTTTTCTTTTCCCTCTCCCTTTCTCTTTCTCTCCCCCATTCCTTTCTTTTTCTTAAGAGAAGAGTCGCACTATATTGCCCAGACTGGTCTCAAACTCCAAGGCTGAAGCAATCCTCCTGCCTCAGCCTCCTGAGCAGCTGTGACCACAGGCATGCACTGCTGCACCTGGCAATATTTATTTTTTAATATTTTCTTCTCCAGTCATTATTTCCTTCAGAGTTTGTTTTAAACTTTTTTTCTTAAGGTAAAGACTTTCTTCAGATGTCTGTGTTTCATATGTGTGTGTGTGTGAGAGAGAGAGAAAAAAGGTCTATGATTCTCATTATATTATATGTATATATATGAAAAAAACTAGTTTTGTGTTTTTTTAAGTCACTAAAACCTGACTAAAGGCTCTGTGGGTGGGGCTAATCTAGTCACCATGAGAGTGAGACATCACTACAAGAAGACTGGGCAACAAGCAGGCATTCTAACTGGGAGAATTCCAAACACCATCATTAAGCACCACTACTCAGCGGTCACTCAATTTCTCCAGAAAGAGTCTCCAATTTTCTTCCTTAGAATAATATAAACTGGTTGTGTATTGTCAGGAAACAGGGTGAGAAGTTCACTGTCCACTCCTCTCCACCTCCTAGCTCTTTCCCTGTTAAGTCAACCATACTCTGCTACCTAGCTTTCATCCTCTAAAATTCTATGAAAATCTCCTGCTCATTCAAGACTTCTCTGTCACTCTTTCATCCTTGTGATTTTATTTATATCTTTTAAAAAACAGTTTTAACCTCTTTTTTAAAAAATTAGGAAAGAAACAGGTAAGCGTGAATGATCGATTTACCAAGTGAACCCACCCATCTATGAAGCCATTTTGGAAAGAATGGCTAAGAAGTATATTACAATTACCCTGTTATGTCTTCAAAGCCCCTTTTTTCAAAGGCCCATTTAAAAACTTATTTCAGAAGGGGGTTTACAGTATACAATGGGTTTTCCTTAAATTAATTATTCATTTACAAGAACTTATCCAGGATTTAAGAATAAATTATTAACAAAAACTTTATAAAAGAGAATTTCAAAAGCAAAGAAATGATACAATGTAACCTTATAACTTTTATTTAGAAATCCTTCTATGGGACTATGGGCTCAGTGGTAGAGTGCTTTGCCTAGCCTGCTCCAGGCCCTGGATTCCATCCCTAGCACTGGGAAAAAAATAAAAAGAAAAAAAAAATCCTTCTACATTAGAAAAGGTTGGTATTTCTTCATGAATTTGGTTCTAAGAGCACTTTCACCTTTTTCAGGTCTGCAGACAGTGGTGACGTGTCGATGGTCAGGCAGGGATCAATCCTGTTCCGGAGCACCATGACAGGCTGCTGCATGCCTGACTTCAACTTCTGCAACTGAGTGATACAGACATTAGACAACCAGTATCTGCCCTGAACTCTTAGCATAGAGTACCGGCATAGAAAGAAAAGAAAGCATATGATTTCAATGTTAACAACCTGAAAAACTCCAAAACTACCTAAATGAAAGAAGATCACCTATTACCCAAATAAAAATAGAAATTTCTCTGATGCACTAATTTACCAATCTATAAAAGCATGTCTTCAGGCAAAGTTACCAATCTATAAAAGCATGTCTTCAGGCAAAGTCCCCCACCCGAGGAGTTTCTCTTCTAATTTTAAGACTGGAAAGAGGAAGGAGAAGAATTTTTAAGAGCAAACTGTTTTCTCTCCTATTTAATTGTTTTTAGGGCCTGTAATACCTGCTGCAGATCAGAGATTCCATCAGCTCTCAAAGGATCAGGATTTAAAAACTGCAGTAATCTGTAAAATAATTTAAAAAAACACTGTTAAGACAAAAAATATTTATATTTCCTCAACTGAACTGTTATTTGAAGTCTTCCTTAACAGAGGTAAAACGGACTCTCTACCCCAGGCCTGGCTGTAAGCGGACTGCCTGCCTGCTCTGTTCTGTTTGATTAAGATACAAGGCCACAGTAGCATGCCTGTTTTATGCTTCCTACTTTCCAACCTTGTGCCTGCATCTGGACTGCAACAACTCTACCACCTAGTCCTTGTGCAGAATATCTGAGGAATCACCATTCTGCTTCATTATCTTTATTATGGATGAGAAAAAAAGCCCAGAGAGTACTTGCCCTATCACCTCTGCTAACTCAGTGGAAAAGAAATTTGAAATTGCTTTCCTCTAGACTAAGCCCCAGCCCTAGCCCCAGCCCCAGCCCCAGCCCCAGCCCCAGCCCCAGCCCCAGCCCCAGCCCCAATATGGGTAAGGTCTAGTGACAGCAGGAGAGAACTCATAAACCATTTTCAGTGACAGGGACTTTGGAAGAAAAAGAGCGGATTAAATATACGTATTAAGTTACATTCTTTCCTAAACTTGATTTTATTTTTTAAGATGGGGTCTTGCTGTGTTGCACAATGGACTTGAACACTTGATCCTCCAGTGTCAGTCTCCCAAATAGCTGTGATTACAGGTGCGTGTCATCATGCCTGCCACCTGAAATCCCATTCTTACATATTTTTAAAGTGCAAGAGCCACAAGATATAAATGTTTATCAACTGATGAATGGATAAATAAAATATGCCATATCCATGCAATAGTTTTTACTCAGCAATAAAAAGGAGTACTCAGCTGGGCTGGGGATGTAGCTCAGTGCAAAGGTGCTTGCCTAGAATGCATAAGGTCCATGGTTCAATCCCCAGTACCATATGCACACACATACAAAATGTAAATTTTTAGATAAATTTTATCTTGACGAAGCTTTTTTTTAAAAATTCTTTTTTAAAGCCACAATGAAGTAGAGAACCACAGAGGAGGCAATATTACAAACAAAATTTTAGAAGCTGGAAAGCAGATGGACATGTGGTTACTGACTTGGCAGATCCAAAACAGTTGAATCTAAGCCAGTCATACATAAGAAGACCAAATCTATTCGCACAGAATAAATCTTCAGAAAGCTTAGGAATTAGGAACAACCTTCTCTTACTGTGGCAATATAGCAGGGGGATAAAATAAAGAGGGCAAACCCCAGATCCCCTTCCACTTCTCAATGCCAGAAAGCTACCCACCCCATCCTAGGGGAAGACCAGGGTTAATGTCCTAGAGAGGATCAAACAGAGCTCTTGGGACTGGGGCACTAGAGGAACAGCTGAAGATGGAGGGACTGCACTGAAAAGTGGAGGAGGGGAGTAAGGCTGAATAATGAGAACCCAGCTGGCTTCTGCCACTCAGCACTCAGGATACCTGTAGGACACTTTATTTATTTATTTAATTTAAAAAATATTTTTGGTTGTAAATGGATGCAACACTTTTATTTTATTTATTTTTATCTGGTGCCAAGGATCAAAACCAGTGCCTCACATGTGCTAGCTGAGCACTCTACCACTGAGCCATAAACCCAGCTCCTTGTAGGACACTTTAAAAGGGTAAATTGAGGGGCTGGGGATACAGCTCAGTTGGTAAAGTTGAGGGGCTGGGGATACAGCTCAGATGGAAAAAAAAAGTGGGTAAATTGGGCTGAGCTCTAGCTCAATGGTAGAGCACTTGCCTAGGGTGCACAAGGCCCTGACTTTAATTTCTACCAACCATCCCCCCCAAAAAAGAGGAAAAGAGAACAAAAGAAAAACACTTGCAAATTAAAAATGTTTTATTATAAATTTAAAAATCAACAAAATTGGTGGAGAATAAAGTTGTGAAAACATCCCAAAAAGTAAAACAAAAAGACAAAGAAATGAAAAATGTATTTTAAAAAATCACATCACAGTTGGGCACAGTGGGGCATGCCAATAATCCCAGCGACATGGAGGTCCATGACAGGAGGATCACATGTTCGACGTCAGTCTCAGCAAGTCAGCAAGACCTAAGCAACTTAGAGAGACCTGTCTCAAAAAAAAAAAAAAAAAGGAGTGGGGATGTAGCTCAATGGTAAAAATAACCCTGGGGTTAAATCTCTAGTATATTAAAAGAAAAATCATATGTCCAACTTGAGAAGTACAACATGAAGAAGAGTTATACAAACTCTAGAAAACAGAGAGCCAGGTGCAGTGGCACATGCCTACAATCCCAGCAACTCAGGAGCTTTGAGCAAGTTCAAAGCCAGTCTCAGCAATTTAGCAAGGCCCTAAACTAAGCAACTTAGCAAGGTCCTGTCCCAATATAAAAAATAAAAAGGACTAGGATATGGCTCAGTGGTAAAATACCTCTGGTTTCAATCCCCAGTACCAAAAAAAAAAAAAGACAAGACAAGAATGTAAGATATCATTGAAAAAGTAAAAAATATTTTCCCAAAGTGAGGAACATAGTACCAGAAAACTTTATCATGAAAAATAGGAAAAAAAAACACTTGCAAATGAAAAATGTGATATTATAAATTTAAAAATCAACAAAATTATAGGAACAAAGACCCTATAAGTTTCCTGAGAGAAAAAGAAAGTCATATATAAATAAGAAATCAAAAAGCAATAAACTAGAAACTAGAAAATAAGGTAGAAATGCTTTCAAAAACTGATAACCAAAGTGTGAAAATAATCTAAAAGTATTTTTGCACTCTTGAAAAGTTCAATCTTTCTTGTTTCCCTCCTCAGGAAGCTATCAGAGGATATCCTTTACCAAAACAAGAAGTCAATCAAATAAGAGGAAAATGGAAAACCCAGAAGAAAAGAGACTCCATTCAAAAAGATTCAGTAATGTCAAGATGCTGGTGGCGATGGACACAGGATGTAGCAGGCATGGGCACGGGCACAGGCAGGAAATTCAGAGAGTTCTCCCAGAAGATGCAAGCTAAATTACTGAGAGTATGTTTGGACAATAGAGGGGGATTCTGGAGATGAATCTATAAAGATATATAGAAAATTAAAGAAAGAAAAAAATAATAGACAATAATTTATTAATGTCAGAAAAACCAAGAATTTTTGCAAGAAAAGAGAAGGAGCCACACTTGGCTCCTGTGAGGCTCCGCAGTATTTTCTACTCACAGACCATGGATGCTCATCTTATCAGAATCACAATGTGTGGGGGGGTGAAGTCAGGGAAGGGACCAAGTGTGGGATGATTAAGAGGGAAGAACCATGGGAATGATCAAACCATTCACAGGGCTTTGGCAGAGAGCTCTGGGCAGGAAGGACTCAACTGCCTGTGTACAGGGCTTTCAATTCAGGCTTTAATAAGAACTGGTGTTCAAACTCTTGACACAGAAACAATATTATAAAGAATTTATTTATTTAGAAGAACTTCCCATTTTAAATAAGCAATAGAAGAAAATAGGGAAATGTTAAAATGTTTATAGGAAGAGAACTGAAGAAAAAAGAACATATTTTATAGTAGTATGCAGATACGGAAAGATCAGAAGATAAAGAATGCAAAAGATGGGGCTGGGGTTGTGGCTCAGCGGTAGAGCGCTCGTCTAGCACATGCAAGGCCCTGGGTTCGATCCTCAGCACCACATAAAAATAAATAAACAAAATAAAGGTGTTTAAATAAAAAGAATGCAAAAGAAAAAAAGACAGCTACAAGCTTACATTTAAACATCAGAGATGACAGATGGCAAGCAGGCCACTACTCAACTCTCCTATACCTAGATTGGATATCTTAATCACTCATAAAATACTGTCCCCAGCACATCTGACACAATGTCAAAATCCTCTTCACCAAAATGCTGCAGGGAACTGCTATCAACCAAATGGACTTAGAACCAATCACTAGTGGAACTTGGAAACAGTTTAGAAAAGATGTATTGGTCTAATCTAAGCTTGCAGTCATCTCCAGATGCTCTCAGAAGAGCAGGGTTGTTTCTCTTAAACAACTAAAAAATCTGCTATGTGGGCCCTGGTACTCTGGATATGGACCCTGACACTCTCCCTGTCACCCAAGAAACCAGGATTCAAAAGGAGAAGAAGGTATACTATCCTGGAACAGGGATGATAACCAAATCTGGGGTGAACTCTTCCTGAATTTCTGTAAGGTCTTTAAGGTGGTCCTTTAAAGATAAGTCAGGATGAATGGCAACATGCCAAAGTTACTGTGTCCCCTTTACTAACTAATGTTATTATTAAATTACATGATGCCTGCAAATTCCTACTTTATCACCCTTAAGGAAAAGATCTCTTTTCTAGGCTGCCTTCATTACTTGACCAAAAATAATGGACACACGGTTCACCAGGCTCTGAATGCCTGGTTCCTTAGGCTCTGGACACAGCATAGCCAACCCCAGGACTATTTGATCAGATCCTAGGAAGAATCACATGATCACCAGGTCAGTCTCTGGATTTCTAAGAAACTCACTGTCTTCTTTTTTCCTTGCCATTTAACCTTGAGCCACTTTAAGGTTTCCTGGAACCATAGCAGACAGGATAACTAGTATACTTTCATCAGTGGATTCCAATAAGGGCCATTTAGCAGAATAAGAGAGAAGAATAAAACTTTTTAATACATAAATAAAAGGGAATGAGATATTTCAAGGTTAGTTTACCAGCTAGTAATTTAAAATAAATGGATAATGAAAGGCTTTGGTTCCAAAGGAAGGAACCACTTATAACAGCAAAACATTCAGGCATTAATGGGAAGAAGGTTGTCAAATCAGATGCCTTAACAACCATCCCCAGCTGTAAGTTCCATGACAGCCTTCAAAGCCCTTGGCCCTGGGATACTATGAGGAGCTTGGACTGGGTAAGAAGCTGTGACAGGGCATCAGAGTGGCATCTGGGGAGCTGTGTGGCTGCAGGGCTGCTTGATCTATGCCCTCCTTCCAACCCCAGAGCAGCTAGTAAAAACAGCAAAATCCACCCACCTCTGAACTGTCTTAAATAAACTCTGTCACATTTGATACTCCACAGTGGTTACAGTTATTTGGAATGTAAAACTGTTTAAACAGAAAGGGAAAAAAACTAACCTCAAAGCCTACAGAAGACTTACTGGTTATGTATTTTTTTTTACAGGAATGAAGTTTGAAATTAGAAATAAAATATGTAAATTCTTCCTGCTTATAATTTTCTTACAATTATTTCAATGAACAATTTGTATACACATGCCCCCAAATCTTACTTCACACAGCCATTCTTCTCATCATATTCTTTCTTCTCAGCCAATCTAAGTGGTTTCTCATTTGGCTTCTGACTTAAAGAACTAGAAATAAAAGGCATCAAAAAGTTTACTGAAATTTGTGAACCCAATTACTCCAACCCTAGAAATGACTTTATTTTATGACAAAAAAATTTAAGAATTATCAGTGAGGAATCAGTTGATATACCAAAGTGAATTTCTGTAAGAACTTATGATTTTCATACCTGTGGCTTAGACCCATACTAATTATAATCAGAAATTCTGGATAGAAAAAAGCAATGGAGGAAAAAAAACTGAAAGTAAACAGAATCATGAGGAGTTTCATGGGCTTTTTCCTTCCTCTGTTTCCTTCCTCAGACCTCAGGGTGGCCTGAGACATGAAACTGTATAGCAAATACAGACATCAAAAATTTGAGAGAAGGGCTGGGGACATGGCTCAGTAGTAGAGCACCTGGCTGCCTGCTTCAGGCCCTGGGCTCAATCCCTAGCACTGGAGGAAAAAAAAATCTGAGAGAGGCTCCCTTTCCAAGCCAGAGAGAACTGGGATTGTTTTTCTTTTTTCCCTGTTTCTCTCCTATGTTTGCCCCAAGGCCAGCTCCACCTTAGAGCTAGCAGCACAGTCCCTACAACCTCAAAAGAAAACCTGTCCCTACATCCAGAAAAACTGGGAAACTAGACCCTATGGTCCAAACAATGTGTGGGGAAATCCACTGTTTTCCTCCATTATTTCTATTGCCATTTTGCTCCCAAAGTGGCCCAAGCACAGATTGCATAGCAGTTTCTCCAAGAGGAACTGTCTGTCTGGCCACAGAGACAGGAAAGGAGCACCTGGATCTGGTAAGCAGGAGAGAAATAGAGGGGGATCAATGAAAGGTCACCCTAACAGGAATCTCAAGGTCACCCTAGGTTAAACACCTGCAGAACAGCCCCAAAACAGCACACCAAAGGCTTGGAAATTGATAGACACTGCAGCCACCCTTGGCAAGTGAGACTAAACCTGAGTCATGAACCTAACCAAATCATTGCTGCCTGCTTAACACAAACAACAAGAATGCACTTTCTCCAGTGGGTTTTAACAGAACCAGAGTCTCATAGCATGTTATTCAAAATATCCATAATACAAACCAAAGTTATTCAACACATGAAGAACCAGGAAAATCAGATCAATTGTAAAGGAAAAAAAGAATCAATAGGTGCTAACCCCAAGATGGTTCAGAAGTGGGAATTATCAAAGATTTTAACACAGCTATCATAATATGGTGCATAAAAAAAGTTTAGCATTCTTGAGTGGAAAAACAGAAAGCAAAGAAAAATGAACTATAAAAAAATTTAAAAATGAAAAATATACCAAATAAAACATTCACAGAATGAGTTCAACAATAGAAATGAGATGACAGAAGAGAAAGATTAGTAGAACTGCTAATTTGAAAAGTGGCAAGAAAGAAAGGTTGAAAAATGAAGCACTTCAGAGGCCTTTGGAACAATTATCAAAATTTTGATTTTTTATTTTTTTAAATCAGGGCCTCAAAAGGAAAAGAGAGAAAACTGTTGCAGAAAAAAAAAAAAAACTATAATGAAAGTGAATATTTCCTGCTACAGTTTGAATATTCTTGTCTCTTCCAAATTTCATGTTGAAACTCAGTGCCCATTGCAATTACACTGGGAGGTGACGCCTCTAGGGAGATGTGTAGGCCACAAGGGCTCTGCCCTCGATGGGTTAATGCCATAATGCCACTACAAAAAGTACTGGTGGGAGTGAGTTCTCTCTCTTTTGCTCTTCTGCCATGTGAGGAACAGTATTTCTCCCTGCCAGAAGACAGGCATTCAAGGTGCCATCTTGGAAGCTGAGATCAGGCACTTACCACAGTACAAAAGTGCCAGTGCCTTGATCTTGGATTTCCCAACCTCCAGAACTGTGAAAAACAAATGGCTATTCTTTATAAATTACTCAGTTTGTGGTACTTTGTTATAGTTATACAAAATGGACTAAATTTGATGAAAAATAGAAAATTACAAAGAACTATTATAAATCCCAAGCATAAGAAACATGAGAAAAAGAACACCAAAGCATATAACCATCAAATTGCTCAAACCAGTAATAATGAAAAATCTTAACAGCAGAAAAAACACTGCAAACAGAGGAACAACAACAAAAAAAGATGACAGCAGATTTTGCATCAGTGCAACACTACCTTTAAAAATACACAGAGAAAAACAGTGTCAAATACTGTCAACCTAGAATTCATTCTATACCTAGCCAAAAATAAATAAAAAATAAAGCAGCAGCAGCAGCAGCTAAGGGCTAGGAATACAGTTCAGTTGCAGAGTGCTCTGCTATTAATCTACAGTGTGCACTGATGCACACACACACAAATAATTTTTCAGACATAAAACCTGAAGAGTTCATCACCACCAGACCTGTAATTTAAAAAAATGTTAATAAAAGCCTTTTCAAGTAAAAAGAGTGGTATCAGATGGAAACATGGATCAACACAAAAACTGAAGAGCACCAATGTAACTACAGAGGCAAATATATGTTACTTTTCTTATTACTTAAACCTCTCTAAAAGAAAACTGTTTGAAGTGATAACATTGTAGCATTTATAACACTAATAAAACACACGAAAATCATAGCATAAAGTCTAAGTGGGGGGAAATGGAAGTATACTATTTTAAGCTTTTATACTGCACATAAAAAAGCATATGACATCATTTCTGTGATGTCATTAATGTCACTGGTGCATCTTGATGAGGATGGTGTTATAGTCAAAGAAGACTGCAAACCATTCTGCTTTCTATCAACTTGTAACCAACCAAGCACTGCTGCCATCTGGCCCACATTTGCTCCTCCTTCACATCACACCCACTCTGTGCCAACCTTCTCTGGACCTGCCTTACAAAACCACCTCTGTCCAACAAGGTAACAAGGGGATTCTAGAGTCAGTTTTCAGCGCTGTGCTACTAACCAATTGTCGCAAGATTTTTTTCTTTAAATTAATATGTTCAATAAAAATTTTCTGTGCCACGCTTTTTGGAAAGAATACTTTCATGTCATGAGAACACTGTACAATTTGGCCTCTGTGTCCATAGGTTCTTCATCTTGTGTTCAACCAACCACAGATTGAAAATATTTGGGAAAAAAACAAATTGAGTCTGGTACTGAACATATACAGGCTTTTTCCCCCCTGGCATTAATACCTAAGCAATAAGTACAGCAACTATTTACATTGCATTAGGTATTATAAGTAATTTACATATGATTTCAAGCATAAAGGAGGATGTGCATAAGTTATATGCAAATACTAATATATATACTAATTGTGGCATGTCAGATTTTGGTATCCTTGGGGGTCCTGGAATCAATCCCCCAAGAATATTAAGGGATGACTACATAAGACTATATATATTTTCAAATCATACCTTGCTGTTGGGATATCTGGATCAGCATATATGGTTATGCCTCTTTTCGTTGGCCAGCATGCTGAAGATTCCACACACTGTAAAACAAATTTCAGAAAAAATATGTATGCTTAACAAGATATATATTCTTTGGGGACAAAAATTTAAACACCACTCCAGTCAATTTCTTGCACACACAAGACACAGAGAGACAAAAAAACTATAAAGTTTGATGATTATGCCATCACTATAATCACTAGATTAAAAGGCTCAGAACTGGGGTTGCAGCTCAGCAGTAGAGTGCTTGCCTAGCATGTTCGAGGCCCTGGGTTGGATCCTCAGCACCACATAAAAATACAATAATGGTATTGTGTCCAACTACAACTAAAAAATAAATTTTAAAAAATAAATAAAAGGTCCAAATGGCAGGTAGCTGGCATTTCAGATAATCAGTGTTTAAAATGCCCTGCAATTACTTTCACCTGTCTCGGTCAAAGGACTGGAAGGTAAGTTAGAATCCCAAATTTTCATACCCTTGTTCAAATGAGAAGAAGTACCCAATTTTAGAAATGGCATTAATTATCAAGGACAAGAGCTTGACAAGAAGGGAGGTGGATGGAGTTACCTTGTTTTTTCAAAATAAGTAAACATGCAAACTGTATTTTTTTCATGAATAAAACTATCATAGTCAATTTTTTAAAAAAGAAAACACATTTTGGTTTCTAATAGGATATTACTAACATTACATGAAGTTTTCATTAAATGAGAATTTTTAAAATACAACCTTATTTACATCTTTTAAAGAGATGCACTGCTGCTTCTTTTCGGATTTCTTTTTAGGTGAGTCTCTCATAGAATCCCTATTATATTTTTCAGTTCTATCTGAAAAATAAAAACAGCAATACAAAGCTACCTTGAAAAATGCTGATAGGAAACAAATGGCATTATAAAATCTTAATACATGAAATTATTATGGAATAGGGGTTTATATTAAACTTTATTTAAGGGGATTAAATTTTAAAATTTTGTTTCAGCCTTTATTATTGTTTTCAAAGTTCTAAAAATTCCCACACCAGCTTATAAGACTAAAACACAATTTATTTTCCCAAGTTGGTCATTTTTATTTACCAAAGGTGGCCACAATTACTGTCCAACAATCTGGGATTACTGAAAGCAATAAATACTAGGTGAAACTGTGCAACGGCAAAACACAAGGATGCGAACACTTGGTACTTTTCCTGCTGTAAGGGAATTAGAAGGAACACCATGGAAAGATATATTCCCACAGTGACAGGACTGCTTTCAGCAGTAACTCTCATCTGAGGACCCTACAGGAGGCCACACATGTGAGAGCTGCCACACCAGGCACTGTGCCAAGGGCACTCCATACCTGCACAGCCAACCTGACCAACTCCAGGCAGGATGGGAGTGAGGCCTCCCCACACCCCAGAGGGAGATGGGGCACACACTCTTGATGGTTTCACAGCAGATCCCATTTACTTAAACATGCTATGCTGGATTATTTGACCTGGAAAGAAGTTGAGCCATAGGGAAAAACACTACAAAGAGGTATATGCAGGAGGATCCTGTTCCTGTAACCTATACATTTACATCTAGAGAACTGTGGAAAGACAGACTCTTAAAATTTTAATAAGTAGGTAGTGAGGTGGCAAGTTTTTACAATTTTGGTTATCTGTATTCTTCCATGATGAACAATATCACCCATGTGAAAATAATATTAAATGTAGGGAACATCTTAGCTGATTAAAGCTTTGGTTCATTTTAACATACTATGGATGCATGTGAAATGTCACATCCACAGGTAAACACACACCCAGTGCAGGAGGGAAGTGGTAAGAAACGACCACAGGGGTGAACCAGCATCACAAGCTGACAGACTTCACCTTGTTGAACAATTCCAAATCATTAAACATTTCTGAGATATGAGATTAAAGACTGAGTATATCTCCCTCATAAGTACAACTTCCTTATTTTTCTGCATCCTACTGCTCAAAATAAAAGTCAATCATAAAAGTATGGTATACTCTGAGGACAAATAATATTTCTCAGGGATAGAAAATATCAGTCTTCCAGATGGACAAATGCCTACTGTTTCTTTTTTTATTTTCTGAGACAGTGTCTTGCTATGTTTCTCAGGCTGGCTTTGAGCTCCTAGGTTCAAGTGATCCTCTTGCCTCAGCCTCCCAAGTAGCTGAAACTATAGGTTTGAGCCACAGAGCCCAGCTCACAAGGGTCTGTGATGTTCTTTATGTTACAGTAAACTTTCTAAGTGTGGACTGCAGGTCAAGTAATCACTGTCAGCATCTATATCATAAATTGGTTCCATTAAATTATAAAAAAAAAAAAGAGAGACCAGAGTCCTTCTAAACAACCCTTTTAATCTTCAGTTAAAGACTGGGGGTATAGCTCAGTGGTAGAACACTGGGAGGCCCCAAAGCTGGGTTTGAGTTGTTTAATCCTCAGTCCCCCCCAAAAAAGGATATTATTTTATGTTGACTATGAAATATATCAAACTGGCGGACTCACCCAGTATTGTAGCAGTTGACCGTAGGTCACTGACAACACCCTTGCACCAGGTATGCTGGAGAGATTGTGCCAGAAAATCTAAATCATGTGACTCTGAAAGAATAAATTTCAAAATTAAGGCATGAAATAAAATGTAAAGTAAAGTGCAGATTCCTTGTTCTACCACAACTGCTCCTGCTTTTGCTGTATGGTCATAGGACACCTAACAAGGAAGCAACAACATGTGAGGGTACTAAAATCTGACAGCAGAGAGGAACATTTAAAAGCACTTCCACAGTTCACAACTAACTCTTCTCATATTTTACTGCTAAGGACCATTTTACAATTAATAATTATTTTTAAAACTGTCTAAAACAATGAATATTCAAAACGTTATTTTAACTACAAATTTAATCTTTAAACTACAAATATCTGGACTTCTGAAAATGTGACTTATTAAGAAATTGAGAATGGTTTCTTCCTGGTTTCATAAAAACAAATTATAGCAGCTTTAGGACCACAAAATCTGTCACAGGCTTGTCCCAACATTAAATTTCAATTATTAAACACAGAGTCCAAGTCTCTGCCTACACACAGGGAAAAGTCTGTACTACAACTTATGGCAACACACTAAGACTATAAATAAAGCAACTTAAAAGAAATACATATAAATGTGAATGCACTCACTTTTCATTCCTTGAAAATCTTTTCCTTGCAATAGCATTGGCCAAAGAGTAAGGGCTGGATTGAGTTTACTGGAGAAAGAAGCTGACTTTATATCCAACCTTGGCTTCTCTAAAGCATCAAGGTTTTTCTTCTCTGTGGGAGATACATAGCAAGCGAAGTTCTTTGCAACCAGATCATCGTTCACACAAACCTATAAAATTAAAACATTTTATGGATAGTAAAACAAGTATAGTTAAGTGAATGTAAAGAAACTATTCCAGCCTTAATCCTAAATTTGGTTTCAGAAAAAAATGTTTTACAGAACATAATTTGATCTATTTGTATGATTTCTGCTCTGATAATGGTGAAGTAAATACTTCTTGCCAACCTTCCTGATGAGAATACAGCAAGAATCTGTATGGAATACAAAAACAGCATAAAGAAATAAAGAGCCAACACAACCTGGCCCAGCAAAAATCTGGTGGCATGACACTAACCATAAAAGGAAAATTGATAAAATTAGGTTTTACCAAAATGTAAAACTTCTACTCTTAAAGAATGATAAAGGACTGCAAATTGATGCAACCACTCTGGAAAGCAGTATGGAGATTCCTCAGAAAACTTGGAATGGAACCACCAAGTTATCTCTCAGTTATCTCACTCCTCCATATATACCCAAAGGACTTAAAATCAGCATACTACACAGCCACACCAATGTTTACAGCAGCACAATTCACAATAGGTAAGCTATGGAACCATGGAACCAATGTAGGTGCCTTTCAACAGATCAATAGATAAAGAAAATGTGGTATATAGACATAAAGGAATATTACTTGGGCCTTAAAAATAATGGCTTTATTATGACATGTGTCAGTAACAGATGAAACTAGAGGCTATATGCTAAGTGAAATAAGCTAGAGGCTATTATGCTAAGTGAAATAGGCCAATCCCCAAAACACAAAAGTCAATTGTTTTCTCTGATATGTGGATTCTAATACACAACACAGGGGAGAGGGGAAGAATAGAAGTTCAGTAGATTAGACAAAAAGGAATGAAGGGAAGGGAGAGGAGACAGTAATAGAAAAATCAGTGGAATAAATCTGACTTCTTTTGTACACATATAAATACACCACAGTGACTCTCCACACCATGGAGAACCAAAAGACTGGGCTGCTAATTAGAATAATATGTATTCCATGTTTGCATAAATATACTGTACTGTTATATATAACGAAAAAGAATGACAAAACAAAAATATTTTTTAAACAGGTATCTGAATAGACAAACAGAACAAAGAGTTCTCAAAACTCCATGAAAAGAAAATAACCAAGTTAAAAAAAAACAGGCAAAATATCTTAATAAATACTTCATCAAAAATGATGCATGGATTGCAAATAAGCATATGAAGCCAGGCATAGTGGAGTATATAATCCCAGTGACTTGTGAAGCTATTGCAGCAGAATCAAGAGTCATGGTCACAGAGACACTGCACTTACTAGAAGAAAAAGGCCCAAATCTCTATCATGTCAGCTTAGGAACCAAATTCCTCAACAAGACTCCGAAAGCACGAGAAGTAAAAAATCAAGAATCAATAAATGGGATTATATCAAAGTAAAAAACTTTTTCAGTACAAAGAAAACTATCAAGAACATGAAGAGAGAGCCTGAAGAATGGGAGAAAATCTTTGCCAACTCCAACTACACCTCAGATACAGCATTAATCTCCAGGATATATAAAAAACTCAAAAAACTTAACACCAAAAACACAAATAATCCAATCAATAAATGGGCAAAGGAACTGAACAGACACTTCACAGAAGAAGAAATATGAATGGTCAACATATGAAAAAATGTTCAACATCACTAGCAATTAGAGAAATGCAAATTAAAACTACATTGAGATTTCATCTCACTCTAGTCAGAATGGCAATTATCAAGAATACAAGTAACAACATATGCTGGCAAGGTTGTGGAGGGGGGGAAGGTATATTCATACATTGCTGATGGGACTACAAATTGGTGCAACCACTCAGGAAAGCTGTATGGAGATTCCTCAGAAAACTTGGAATTGAACCACTATTTGACCCAGTTATCCCACTCCTCAGCATATATCCAAAGGACTTAAAATCAATTTACTATAGTGATTTGGCCACATCATTGTTCATAGCAGCGTAATTTCAATAGCTAAGCTGTGGAACTAACCTAGGTACCCTTATGTAGACAAATGGATAAAGAAAATGTGGTACATATACATAATGAAATATTATTCAGCCATAAAGAAGAATGAAATTATAGCATTTGCCAGTAAATGGATGGAGCTGGAGAATATCACACTAAGTGAAATAAGCCAATCCCCAAAATCAAAGGCCAATGTTCTCCCTGATGTACATACAGATGCTGACTCACAATGGGTGGGGTGGGGGGTGGAGAGGAGAGGTTCACTGTATTGGATACGGTAGAGGGGGGAATGAAAATGGGAAAGATGTAGAATGAATCGGACATAATTTTCCTATGTTCATATATGACTACACAACCAATGTAACTCCACATCATGTACAATCACAAAAATGGGAAGTTATACTCCATGTATGTAATGATATATCAAAATACATTCTACTGTCATGTATAACTAAAAAGAACAAATAAATTTTTTTTTTAAAAAAGAGTCAAGGTAAGCCTTAGCAACTAGCAAGACCCTATCACAAAATTTTAAAAACTAGGAGGGTTAGGGATATAGCTCAGTGGTAAAGACTGCCTGTGTTCACTTCCCAGTTCAAAAATATATATATAAGTAAGTAAATACATAAAATAGGCACATAAAAGCAACATCAGTCATTTGGCAAATGCTAATTTAAGCCACAATAATATACTATTAGAATAGCCACAGTATCAAGGAGGACATAAAGAAAGTGAAGTGTTATACACTGCTGATGGAATATAAAATGGTAAATGACTGTGGAAAACCTCTATAATATTATATTCCCAAACTGGCCATAACTCACATGTCCATCAACAAGAGAATGGATGCACACACCATTGTTAGTTGTGTAAGAGAAGAGTTCTTGACCATAAAAGGAACAAACTATTGATACATCCACAACATGGATGTCTCTTAAAATAATTTTGTTCAATTAAAGAAGCTAGGCCAAAAAAGAACACCCTGGGACATATCCCTGTACTTTATCTAGAAAAGGACTGTTGGCCTTAACCGTTTTCTGGCCTCATGCACCACATGGACCTTCCTGCCATCTGCACTTTATCATCTTGAAGTAAGAGCAAGTCATCATCATATACAACCTACATGATGAGAAAGAGAGACTTTTGAAAAGCAAGAGGAGAGCAAGTCAAAAGAGAATTTATTTTAGAAAAGATGATTTACAAAGACAGGTCCTAGAACCAACAATTTTTTTACCAACAATTTTACTATAATAATTTTACTATAAGCAATGAAAAGTCATAGGTAAAACCAACCAGAGTGTAAGAACCACAAATGCAATATAAACAGTTAAAAAAAAAAAAAGAACCTTTTTACAAAAGAATAATACAATCACACTGAAGAGTGAGGGAAAGAAAAAAACTAACCCGAGCAACTGTGAAAACAATTGCTTGACTGTTCAAAGTAAGACAAGAGACAAATTTCCTTTTCACAAGCATGTGTGTGTTAGCAATTCTGAAACAGGATTGATCATGTAAGTATACTGTGGCTAACGAGAGCAGGTTTCTCACTGTTGGAATAAGATTAGGACAGACCCTGTGGCTGCAGGATTGAAACTACAGGGATCGGGGCTGTTGACACACGTACAGATGATAGACTTCAGAAAAATCTAGATCGTGTGAATGCATAAGTTAGTTATCTGAAGATATTTCATAACACTTTGTGCTGAGAGGATATACAATCAATGATACCCCAGGAACAGCAAGCACACCTAGTGCCCTTATCTTTAAATCTAACTATTGTTCATTAATAAAAGAAACCAGCACTTCTTGCCAAAGTGGTTGATTTGTGGAAAATGACAAAATAATCCTGGAGCATTCTGTGACAGGGGAAAGACAACAGTGTTCAAACAACGATGAGCATATTGAAAGGACACATGAACCACTTTGAATAAACTAGTAATGGCCAAAATCTGAGGTAATCTGAGCAAGACAATAATGACAGAAATGGTTATTATCCCTCAAACAAGTAACCAAAAATCCATACTAATATAAATTCAATGACTTAATAAATGGTGGAGGAAGGATGATTCTTTATATAATTCTAATTAAAAATGCAGAAGACAAAAATATTGTAGAATATGCAGAAGACAAAAATATTGCCTATTTCAACAGGCAACCACCACAGTAATAACTTTTACAGGCAAGAAGCATTGATAAACATTTGCATAGTCTCAAAAAAACTCCCTATAAAATAATTATTAAGGGCTGGGGATGTGGCTCAAGCAGAAGCACCCTCGCTTGGCATGCGCGGGGCGCTGGGTTCAATCCTCAGCACCACATAAAAAAAAAATAAAGATGTTGTGTCCACCGAAAACTAAAAAATAAATATTTAAAAATTCTCTCTCTTTCTAAAAAAAATAATTATTATATCAAAAGAAAGAAAAACAGTAACACTATATGGGGAAGACCTGTACAACACTACATTACCACATGATTGACATGAACTAATCACAAGCAATTAGACATGTTAACAGTACAAAACCCACAATGATGCACTGAGACATGCACAATATTGCTTCCGTGGCATTACTGCAAAAAACACTCAACTTCAACCTAATCATGAGAAAACATCAGGCAAAACCAACTTAAGTGACATTCTGGAAAACAACTGGCCAATACTTTTTAAGTATCAAGGTCACGAAAGGTGAGGAAAGACTGAGGAACTGTCCGACTAGAGGAGACTAAGAAGATATGACCACCAGATGCAACTCAGGTCCTGAATCAGCTCCTAGACCAGAAAAAGAAAATAAGTAGGAAAACTGGCAGTATTCAAATAATCTGAGAATTTGTTAAACAGTATTTTATCAATGTTAACTTTCTGGTTTTAATAACTATGATTCTACACAATCTTAACATGGTGTGAATGCATAATCTGCAGATATTTCATAAAAGGGAAATCTGGGCAAAGTATATACAATAATCACATTATTTTTGCATCTCTTCTGTGAGTGAAGTGTTTCATTCATATATTCATATATATATACACACACACACACACATATATTTAATCTCTAGGTGGAGCCTCAGTGTAACTCAGTGATACAGTGGGTGCTTAGCATGTGCAAGGCCCTGGGTTCAATCCCTAGCAACCCCCATCCCTGGGTAGGCTGCCCTCTGTTGGTTCTGGGCAACCCTAGATCTATGCCCTTCACCCACTTTCCCAAGGTGAACAGCTGCACATTGTGGTGCCCTTCAGAAAAGGCAGCCAGCCAAAAATGTAGCAGCAAATACTTAGGAAAGGGAGGGTGCAGGTCTCACAGGTCACATCCACTTTCTTTTTCTACATATGGTATCTGAGTTCTTAACAATGAGCATCTATTACAATGAGAAAATCAGGGGAGGGGATAATGATCCTTAGGAATTATTTATAATAATCATATCCCTGAGATAACACATTTCATACTCATCATCACAGTAATAATTTCTTGTCCATTACTAAATGAGATATTGCTCTGATGAATTGCTCAAGTAATTTTTCAAAGTAATCAAAAAAGGAAACACAGTCCTATTTAACTTCTCATTTAAGCCAGACCTTGAAACATTCAGATAACTTCTATGTTGTGTGAATTACATTTTTCCTTGATAAAATATTTAAAAACACAAATCTTTCACTTACTTTTTCATTTTTTATTGTTACATAAAGGTAGACCTCAAAAGTATCTTCTTCCACAGCACATAATTTGGCTTCCACCTGGGTAGTTGCTAAACAGCATAAGTAAGAGCACAAATAAGCTGATGAGCAAAGTACACTTGATACGATCATGACTATTTCTTCTTAGGTGGTTAGTCACTGCTGACCAATAGCCAGCAGCTTCCTCAAGCAGGGTAGGTTCCCTGAGCACAAGGCGGCAGGGTGAGCGAGCCATGGAAAAGGCTCTCCTGACTGTAGAGTGAGCCACATATTCTCTGTCCACATCAACAGTGTCCCCCTGCCTCTTTATGAATACAAGTGAATACTTCTCCAGTAAGTACACTTCTCGGTCCTTCTCTCTCACTGACTCCCACATCCAAATTTCTAGTCATAAACTTTCCTCCAAGTACCTCTTCTCTCCTCCAAACACCCCATGAACTGAATTTCCTAGCTACTCTATCACAGTTTCGAGAACCCAACAGGAGCTCAATTTATGGGTACTTATCATGAACTGTGTTAAGTCCTTTATATACCTGGTTTCATTTGATTTTTATCACAACCTTTTTTTTTTTTTTTTTCAATCATTTTTCAGGTAAGGAGACCAGGTTCAGAGAAAATTAAGTAACTTGCCCAAGGCTACATACACAGAAGGGGATGGGCAGAATTCAACCCCAGGGGGTTTACATCTCCAAACCCATACTCTCTTAGCATCCCCCATAATGGGCTCACAAGAGCCCAAACCCCAAACCTAGTGACAACCACCCCAACCTCCTACTTCTCCCAGTTTCAAAGCATCTGACTTTTCCTTTTTTCAAACAAAGGGGCAGCACAGGAGAGCCAGGACCCAACTACATTCCAGGCAGCACCCTAGGCAGGTCATACCTACTAGTTCTTTAGAACAGCCCTAAGAGGGAGGCACAGACATGGACCCTAAAAGTCAGGACAGTTGCCATAAAAGAGGTTAATTTTACAACCACTCAAATAAAATAACACAGTAAAAAGTAAATACATTTTATATATCTTAAATTAGCAATAATGATTTTTACATAATAAATATCCTTTGCTCACTAAAAAAGGGTAGGTTTTTAATTGTCAGTTCAATAAAATTCACATAAATTTATTCTACAGCCCTGCAGTTTTTAAGTTGATTGTGTAGGGGGTTCATCTACAGAAACAGCCACTTTCTATTTCAGCTGTTAATTATTGGCATCAGCATCCACCCACAAAGTTTCAGGGGTACAGTCACTGTGACACTGATGTGAAAGAAGCTCCCATGTGCCAGCTAAGCAGGCACAGGTCAAAACCCATCGTCAACGGAAGGGTAAGCCACCACAAGTGTCAGTTCAAAGGAGGGTACAGTGAATATGACTGTCTTACCTTTTAGAATGTTCTGAAAGTACTGGATTGCTGCACTATCCCACTTTTTGGCAGGGCTGGAAAAATAAACAGATAAAACTTCATTATAAAATATAACCCTACTATACTAATTTCATTTAGTAAACCATACACTAAATATTTCTGGCATTAAATATAAAGCATATTTGCTAGAGGGAGCAGGGAGATTGTCTCTGGCTCTGTTCTGCTCATGAAGACCCTACGAACATCCTGTAAAACCAAGGTCACCTTCACTACTGTAGAGACTCACATTAGTCAGGCCCTGCTGGGTTGTGCCCAATACCATGCTATCTTCTGTTGCAACACCATCATCCCCAGTTACCTGTGACAAATCTGTCTTCCCAGCCAGAATGCAAGCTCCCTGGGGAAGAGATCCAAAGTGTGCAATGTCCAGCACAGGCTGGCATAGAGAGCAATGTGACAGACATTGGCTAAACCAGCACTCCACAAGGTGGTTAGACAAAGCCAGTCACTATCATCTCAAGCTATTCCTCCCTTAGCCGTCTCTAGAACCCTCAAGCCCTCTCCCATTAGATGTCCATCAGCTCGCTCCTTCTAAATCTTTCTTCTGCTTTGGCAAGGAAAAAAAAAAAAAAGCTGTAGGCAACAGAAAAAGCAGGAGAAACCAGTATTTGGTAGCAAGAACAAAACTAAAATAAAGTTTTAGGTTAGTCTGTATTATGCTTCTACTGTTCTTATCCATCAGAGATTCTACCACCATCCTCCAAGAGTTCTTTTAAAGGAAAAATAGGGTAATGTGTATAACACATGCAGCCCAGTACCTGTATACAATTGGTATTTTATGTATATATGTTTATATGTGTATATGTATGTGTGTGTGTGTATATACATACATATATAATTTTTTTCCCTAAGAGGTTAAGCATATTACTTCAAAAGAATTACAAAGGATTTGTAAAAAGACATAGTACAGGGGGGCTGGAGTTGTGACTTGGGAGAGTAGAGTACAGGAAGATCTTCAAAGAGGCCAAAAGTATCCACAGAGAGGTAGTTTCCAAGTTGTTTTGTTTGTTTTGTTTTGCACTTGCCTCACACATGTGAAGCACTGGGTTTGGTCCTCAGTACCACATAAAAATATAAATAAAGTGGAAAAAAAAAGACAGTGGTTCAAAACTCTTGCTACATACAAAAAAATTGACCTAAAAATTTAAAAAATATATAGCCAAGCATGGTGGCACACACCTGTAATCCCAGCTATTTAGTAGGCTGAGACAGGAGGATCTCAAGTTCAAGGCCAGCCTCAGCATCTCAGAGAGACACTGTTTTGAAATAAAACAAATTAAAAGGGCTATCTCCCTTGCATGAGGTCCTGGGTTCAATTCCCAGTACCACCAAAAAGAAAGAAAGAAAGAAATATATACACACATATGTGAAAATAGTAAATTCCTATAAGGCAAACAAATGCAAGGGAAAATCAATCTAGCATATGAACAGGTACCTCAATCACTGTCTATCTCTCACATACACAGAGAATAAACACATGAAGAAATATCCAACTTTGCAAGTCAGAAAAATTCAAATTAAAACAAAGTACCATTTTTACCTAACAAACACACAAAAATTTAAAAGCCTAGCAATACTCCAATACTGTATGGGGAAAACACCACTTTCTGTACCCCAATGGTGGTAAAAATTGCTAGGGTTTTTGGATAGAAAAATCTATCACAAATTATATAATACACACTAAGAAAAGCATTTTAGATAAAGTAAAAATGAAAAATTATCACATCAAAGAATGGGATCAAACTCAGTAAGACAACTTATCTTAAGTCTTTCACCTATACTGGATGTATCTTCATGTTGAGTGGGGTCCATCTGAGAGTGGGGAAAGCCCCTGCAGACTACTGAGATTGGGAAAGAGATCATGCAGAGGGAGCAAGACAGGAAATGGGTGGGCTTCCTCTAATGAGGAGCTGGGCTGTAAAGGCGGGTACCCGATTCATGCTTAAGTGTCAGCAGCTAGCTGCTCTGAAACATGAACAACTGAGTAGGCAGTGAGTACTGCCACACCAGGGCCTTTACTCCCAGAGTCTACACAGCAAAGGGGCATGAGTGGCAATGCACGCTGGCTGGAGGGCAGACTTGTGGGAAGTAATGGTTTTCACAAAGACAAGCTGGCTTATTATCTCATCAGTGTGGATTCTGAGGCAGGCCACAAGAGTGATATATTCACCACCTCAAGTACAGGTGGTGGGGGTGGGAGAGGAGAGGAGAGGAAGATCTTCAAAGAGCTCAAAAGTATCTACAGAAAGGTAGCTTCCAAATTATTTTGTTTGTTTTGTTTTTGGTTTTGGTACCAGGGATTGAACCCAGGGGCACTCTACCACTGTGCTTCAACCCTTTTTATTTTTTATTATGAGACAAGGTCTCATTAAATTGCTGAGGCCCTTGCTAAATTGCTAAGGCTGGCATGGAAATTGTGATCTTCCTGCCTCAGCACTGCAAGTTGCTGGGATTACAGGTATATACCACTACACCCAGCTATGGCTTTCAAGTTCAGAAAGTATAATCCATCATCACTGCCATGTGCAAGTGGAGTCAGAACAGGGCTGATTCCTATGGCTTTTCTTTCTATATGCCACAATTCTGAAGGGAAAGGATGGAATTGACCCCACTGGCTACAGACACAGAAATCAAGCCACTCAGAATAGCAATTATAAAAAATACAAAAAATAATAAATGCTGGAAAGAACGTGGAGAGAAAGGAACCCTTACACACTGTTGGTATAATGTAAATTAGTACAGTCACTATGGAAAACAGTATGAAAATTAAAAAAAAACCTAAAAAATAGAACTATCATATGATCTAGCTATACCATTCATGGGTAAACACCCCAAAGGAAATGATATCAGCATATAAAAAAATGCCTGCATACCCATGTTTACTTGAAGCAGTATTCACAATACCCAAGATATGGAATCTGCCTAAGTGCACAACAACAGATGATTAAAAATATATGTGTTATATACCATTCAGTCATAAAGAAGAATAAAATCACATCATTTTCAGGAAAATGGACTGGATTGAAGGTTATCATAGTAAGTGAAATTGGCCAGACACAGAAAGATATGTATTGCATGTGGGTACACCAGTAGGTAAGAAAGACAGAGGGAAAGGCCAGAAAATGTAGGAGAGAAGAAGGGAGGGTGGACATGATTGAAGCACAACATAATGCATGGAAATGTCACAAAGAAACTATTAATTAGTACAACTGTTTTCACTGAATAATTATGATAATAATAAAATAACAGATCAAGTTTATACCTGACAAAATACTGCCCAATACAGGGTGCTTCTGTACAAACACTAGCACCATGAACAGATACTAGTAAAAAGGAACAAAGACAGGAGAGTGCGTGTGCACAGTCTCTATCTCTTGTCATCTACATATTTTATGGATGTGCCAAATCATATGGAAATAATGTAGCTAGCTATCAAGAGGAGAATGGTTAAGTACAAGTAAGATAATTACATCCACCCACGAAAAAAAATAATGGTAAAGAGCTCCAACATACATTCTTAAGTTAATCTTGCTAATTTTCATTGAAAAATTCATGAAGATGAGATGTGTATAAAAGCACTGACAGGGTTCTAGAAGTTCAGAGGTTTAATAGACCACAAGGCCTCATAGAAGGGAGGACACAGGGCTGGAGAGAAATGCAATAAATGTTAGTTTGTTTGTGTAAGACAGGGGCTATGTTGCCCAGGCTGGCCTTGAACTCCTGGGCTCAAGTGATCTTTTTACCTTAGCTTTAGCCCCCCAACTACAGGTGTGCATCACCATGCCTGGTTAATATACTTTTCATGGTCCGTGATCCTGCTTTCTTTTTTCTTTATAGATACCTTATTACTTTTTACAAGTTAAAAAAAAACAACAATAAAAAGGGTGAGAAGCATAGGCCCTCTTCTAACTTCCCCTACCCCAACTTCTGCCCCAGGGGACTCTGCTGCACAGCCAGATTTGACAGTGACTCAGAAGCCAACTCTTGCAGAACAGAGATCTGTGAAATTTCTTAGCATTCCTATGGAGGAACAGATTTCAAATAAACACTTGATTTAAGACTTTTTTAATGATTCAAACTATTGAAGAAGCTGTACTTACACAATTTCAGCATTGTCTTCACAGAAGTCAATGTGTAATGTAACAGGTTTTGTGCAATACAGTCTGAATTTTTTTGCTCTATAGGGAAGCTGCATAAAAGATTCTACTGCAACCCGGATGCTTAAAAGTGAAGCAGAGATAGTTCCATTACAAATAAAAGTTGTACACAATATAGTCATTTAAAGTATACCTACATAATACATAATCAATATACTTAATGTAAAACAAAACACACAGAAAATATTGTTTCTAATATAACTACCTACAGCACTTGGATGTATTTAGCCAAGGGGCAAAAACTCTTTCCTGAGGAGTAAAAAAAAAAAGAATCTTACTCATTTTGTGTACAAAGCACAAATATACATATGGTACATAAATAGATGGTCAGCATATCTGTGGTATGAAAATTTCAAGGCGGGGGGGCAAAAAATTTAGGGGAAAAATGTCTTAATGAGGCTTTGGAGGTTGAGACATATTGGGTAATAATGAATAAACCTGTGAAGAAATTCTATTTAAGATTTTTAAATATCAACATCAGTATATGATAATTATATTAAAGTTTCTATAAACAGATGGATGTTTTAATAATTAGTATTTGCCAATTTTGCACAAAAGAACTAAAAGACTGAGATTTGATAAATAAGTTCAGCACCAGCTCAGTGATAGAGTGCTTGCCTAGTATGCATGAAGTCCCAGCCTAGCATGTGTGGGTTCAACACCCAGCACCACAAAAGGAAAAAAAAGTTCAACATTTTTATTCTTATTAAGGCAAATGACAGTCCACTTTACCACATTATTTCAACATGAACTGTTTCTTCCCCAGATTCTCATTATGCCTGTATGTGTGTCATCTTTTGCCTCATAAAGGTTAGGAAAAGGTTATTGCTTTAGTTCATCATATTGTTCTCCTGCCCAATCAAACTAAACTAAAACACCAAATACAAAAAGAAATCTTCCCAACAGTTAAACACAACAGTTATTTTTATAACAATTATGACTGTAAAGGTGCAGAATTGTAAGCTGGAAAGGTTATCTACTTTTTCCTAAGTATCTATAAATTCCCAATGTCTGGCAAGTCCTTGTGCCACAAATTTTTCTATTCAGGATACCCCTCTTATTACAACTAAAGTCTACTTGGTATTGCTCCTCCTTCAGTAGAAGAAAGTCCTCATATTTATTTATTGAATTAACAATCTCTTATCCTGGGAAGGAAACTGGAAAAGTTATCACAAAACGCTGAGACTGACTTGTTGCTAGCATTTTCTAATAAATTGTGACATGTGGCCCCCAAATCAGTGAAGGCTGCCTAGTTACCAGCTCATTACGAATTCTCTCCTCACCTTAAGCTATGGCCATGCTCTCACTTTAGTAAGTAGGACAATCAGGAATACACACTTGAGCACACACTCTGATCTCTGCAACCTGAGGCTGGGACAGCAACCTACCCTTCTGGAGAGATAAGAGTTCCTCTCCACCTCCTGCTACTGTCTTTCTTGCAGCCACTCTCCCCTAATGGACTTGCTCCATCACAGAGCAAATAGAGGGAAAGAACAGAGAATCGCTGGCGAAGGATCTACAGGAGATGCAAAGAGAAGGGCCTGAACCTCTTTGCCCTTTCCAGGAAGGAAGGTGGAGAATAGACAGGCTGCCCTCAGTCTCATTTGACCACTGTTATTCCAGTCAATGAAAACAAGATTGGAACTTGCAAGTCTTCCACTTCACAAGTTAAAAAATTCTAGTTTCATCTTTCTCAAAAGATAACCTTTGTGGGCTGGGATTATGGCATGTGCGAGGCCCTGGGTTCAATCCTTAGCACCACATAAAAATAAATAAAATAAAGATATTGTGTCCAACTACAATTAAAAAACAAATATTAGAAAAAAAGATAACCTTTGTCACCTTACTTTAAAAATGGACATTCTTCTTTAAATTGACATCTGTCTCCTTAAAGAGGGTTAAGGCAAAATACATGCATACGTACTTTTTAGATTTTACTGGAATGTATTTGGCAAAATCCACAAGGAAACACTCTGCCAGGTAATGGTCTGCTGAAGATATGATTGACTTAATAACAGCCCTGCACCAGCACTTTAGTTCCTGACAATAAACCACACAAACCTACAAAAGAAAAGGAAGGTTTTGGTTTTTAAGTTTGGTGTTAAAAATCTCTAGTCACATAAGAGAACCAAAAGGTCCTCTTGAAACTACCTCAGCGGCATTACCTCACAGAAGAGGAGAGATTCCAGAGGTTGGACCTGCCAAAGCTAAACCAGTTTTCTAGCAAAAGAACTTCAGGAAGAACGTGAGTCAACCAGATTCTGTTCCACTGCTTTTCTTACTACAATAGTCCCCTAATCCACAATTTCAGCACTCACTGGTTAACCAAAACCTGAAAATATTAATGGAAAATTCTAGAAATAAACAATTCACAAGTTTTAAGTTGTGCTCTACTCTGAGCAGTGTGATGAAATCTCACCATCTCCTTCCAACAATCCCAGTATGTCTACCATACTCATGCTGCATGTGCCACCTGCCCATTAATCACTCAGTAGTCGTTTTAGTAGTCATTTTAGCTGTCACAATATTGCAGGTACTTCCGTTCAAGTAACCCTTAATGGCCCCAAAGTGAAAACTATTAAAGTGTATTATTATAATTATTGTTTTATTTGTTATTATTAATCTTTTACTGTGACTAATCCATAAACTATCATAAGTATTAATGGATGGGAAAAAATACAGTGTATATAGAGAGGCATTCCCTTGGGGTCTTAGAACAACATATCCCTTGCAGGTAGGTAAGGGGGACTATTATGAAATCATGCTGACTCCTTAACTAAGGAAAATTATTAGAAAGTAAAAATTTTCAAATGCATTGCTTTACCTTCCTATATCAGAAAGCTTACAAATGATTGTTAATATGCGTCAGACTGATATAAAATTGCAACCCCAGGGTCATCCTCTTCATTCCCTTGCATGGCTTTTCCTACCCTCTAAATTTGTTTACTACCTTTCATAAACGGATGTTGGATCCATGAAAATTTTATTTTTGTTTTGCTTACTGCCATATTTCCAGGACTCAGCATGGTGCTTGGCATATACTAAGTCTTCAAAAGCCTCTCTTAAGGGGAACCACTCCACTTAAGTGACAGTCCTTGGCATCCTGACTGAACCACAGGACCATCATACTCAACAGGTATTCCATGGCCAACCAAATTATATGCTGACCACAGGCTTATAAAGTCAGCCAGTAGCAAGAGCTGTGCCCAGTCAGGGAAGAAGTGGACCAGCGGAGATTCCTGATCTCTGGAACTGAAACTGGAAAGTATGGTACAGCCACACTGTAAGGGATAAGCGCCTAAGAACCTCACATAATTCAAAACTCAAATGATTCAAGATAAATTCTGACAAAGGATACAGGGTATTTATATTTAATGCTAAAATTCATGCAACTTGTAAGAATGGTTTGACTATTTAATAGTTCACATAACTAGTAAACTTTGAAACTGTGTTATACTAGGGCTACTGCTTGTCAAAAATTAAACAATTTAAGTATCAAGCTGAACAGTGATTATAATTGAAGAAAACATTTACAAGCCAGAAAAATAAAAATGAAAAGAAAAGGCATTTAAAAGTGAAAAGAAAAGGAACTAGGGATGTTGCTCAATGGTGGAACACTTGCCTAACATGCATGAGGCTCTGGATTAAATTCTTAGCACCACACACATACAAAATAGAAGAAAGAAAAACAAAATGAACCTCTGAACACCAATGGAAGAACATCATGCTGAAAATGCACTGGGGAAAGGATCAAGCAACTTTTTCTTTACTATAAAGTGTATTATTTCAGTCCTAATAAAGGAGGGAAGATTCCACACAGAATTCCAGCTCATGGATGCAGAGGGAATGAGAAATCACCATGTCCAAAGCATGAATAAAAGCTGATGCATGTCATGGTGGTCACTACAGAATGGAGAAACCACAGGCAGCATCCTAGGGAGGGATCAGGCTGTCACCACCTGAATCCACTGGCCAATCACAGTACCACCAAAAAGTGATATTACTTTCCAATTCAATACAACATGAACTTCACAGCACATTCTTAAGAGAAAAAAAGTGACCCTGTGTCTATCCAAAGCTTTGTATTTAACTCTACTTAACTATCAGTCCACCTCCAAAAGGAAGCCCTTGGGAGTCCAAAATGTAAAATATTTTTTAAAAGGACAAATGACCTGGTTTCATTCCTTCAATAAGGCAATGGTATAGAAAAATAATAAAATATATTATTAATGATTTTTGGGGAAAGAGATTAAAATGTTTTCTAATTTGTTCAAAAAGAGTTTATAAAATATTTTCCCTTGGGGCTGGGGATGTGGCTCAAGCGGTAGCGTGCTCACCTGGCATGCGCAGGGTGCTGGGTTCAATCCTCAGCACCACATAAAAATTTAAAAAATAAAGATGTTGTGTCCACCGAGAACTAAAAAATAAATATTTAAAAAAAATTCTCTCTCTCTAAAAAAAAAAAAATTCCCATCACATCACTAAAAGAATCCAAACTCTTCTCACGAATGCTGATTTGTCAAGACAATCACACAGTGGACAATGGGCAGTGACATTGCAAGAAGGCAAAAAAAGGCCACAATGTGGAGTAAAAAAAATAAAGAAAGAAAGAAACACAAGCTGGGGCTAAAAGGGACATGTCAGTACTAGACTGAAAACTCCAAGCCCTCTGCTGAAGTGCCTACACCTGCAGTGGATTTAGATAATCTCTTCATTCCCAGACCCAGGAATATGGTCTTAATGCCTGGATTTAGATGTCATGCCATTTCCTATTGCTCCACATGAATCCTACACAACCACTGTCTTTGCATGGCTAGCCTCTATCTTGTGCTAAAAATCCTAAAGCCAGGCAATGATTATAAACAACTAACATTACTCCAAAAGATTTTATCACCTTAGGTGACAAAGTACTTTACATTTTGAGTAGTGTTTCAAGACATGGTGATTAAACCACATTTGGATACATACCTGCCCTTCTTCCAATATTAATGGCTTTATTTCTATATCTTGACACATGCTGTTATAAAAGTCATTCATGGCAGTATTTAGTTTTTGGTAGTCTACTTCATGATCTAAAAAGGGACTACATCCTTTTATAATAACCCAGAAGCAACCTGGATCTTCAATCTGTAAAATGGTTAAAAGACAATACATGATTTAAAAGTAGAACCATAAAATGATAAATCTTACAAACATGATAACTATTTCCAACATAAGTGATCTAACAAATTCTTAACAAGTACTTTTGTCTTAAATAGTCAGACCAAATATAAATACCAAAGTGTGTAAGCAACAATATGTAATTAATTCTCAATTATGTGCTATGAAAAGCAGAAATGCCCTTTATCTCCATATTTTGAAAACATTTAATAATATATACAAGCAAGGGTCAGGCCAATATTTTTAACATTGTTTTTCTAAAGAAGAAGAAATAAATAAGAATATATGTATATTATACTAATATTAAAAAATAAAAGATGATAAATAAACCAAAATACATATAACTATTACCTATGGTGGAAGGAAGAATGAAATTAATGTCAAACCTGTTGGAATATATCTGGTTACATGTTATTATTATGAGAAACCAAGATTCTCATTATTAGACATAAGATGAAAATATTAAAAAGTTAAATTTGAGTTGAAAATAGAAGAATTCATGACTTTTCAAATGTATTTCCTAGCTCTGCCTAGTGAAAGGACCTAGAAGCAATGATGTCCCAAGATTTGGGGATCCTAAAAACTAACAAGCAGGAACACAGATGTTTGCAGTAGTATTATTTCTACTTTTTCCAAATATTTGAACAGTTTTATAATAAAAAAAATTGGCAAAAAGAACAGTGGTCATTCTGATTCAAGTAATGGCAGAACAATCCTTATGACATCTGCAGGTAACAATTATAAGCCCTGGAAAAAAACAAAACAATTTGAAGGCACTGAAGAGCTGCCAAAAGCAGCCAAAGCCTGGAAGAGATTTGGTTCCTGAAAGAAGGAAACCTCACTGTGTTAAACAGCTTTTCCCAGGTCCCCACCACCCCGCCCCTCCAGCACCCAACCCTCAGCCACGTGGTATGAAGACTCTTACACCTCAAGCAGAAAGGCACAATGTATGTTGTTTGGGGAATCAGAGAAAAGAGTTTTGGAGCTGCCAGAGCAGCTGAAAACTAAGGGGAGAAACAAGAAAAGGAGGGCCAAAGAGAGGGAGCTCTAAAGTCTGCATATAAAGCCCCTCACATCTTTGGCATATCTTCAACAGCTTAGGTGAGACTCCAAGGAGTCCAGAGAAGACCAACAGCTGGAAGACTGAAAGAAAAAGTTTTAGTTGATATTCAACAAAAACATAGAACCCTGGGCATGTAACAACTCTGCCAAATCTTTTTCACTTAGGGACATCCAAACTCTAGCATGGCTTCTAGCAGCAGGTGGCCACATCCCTAGGATGAGGAAGGTTCCCACCAAAATGCCTGCATAAGAAAATTCAGGGGCTGGGGCTCAGTGGTAGGGCACTTGCTTGGCACGTGTGAGGCACTCAGTTTGATTCTCAGCACCGCATATAAATAAATAAAATAAAGGTCTATCAACAACTAAAATAAATTTTTTTTAAAAAAATTCAATGCTGCCAGGATAATTCACTGTACCTGGCCCAGCCCCCACCTCCCTTTCTTAGAGCACTTACTAAAAGGGCTTAAAATTATAAATATGTAACTACAACTCATGTGTCTTTCTCAAAGAACCTGAAAGCTATTCCTGAGAAATGTAATCACCAGGAAGGACTCGGATTCCATCTCCAAATCACAATGAGCTACTACCTGACACTCATTAGGATAGCTACTATTAAAAAAAAAAAAATAACTATAAAATAGCAGGTTATTGATAAGGATACAGAAAAAGTGGAACCCTTGTATATTGTTGTTAAGAATGTGAAATAGTATAGCCACTGTGGAAAACAGTCATTTTAAAATAATTACAAGTAGAATTAGCATATGATTCAGCAAAGACTCCAAAAAACTAAAAAAATATAGGAAGAGATATGTGTACATCCTGGTCATAGCATCAGTGTTCACAATAATTAAATCGTGAAAACAACCCAATGTCCATGAGCAGATGAATGGATAAGCAAAATGTGGTAAATACACACAATGGAATATTATTCAGCCTTAAATTAGGAAGGAAATTCTGTTGGGCACAGCAACGTACACCTGTAATCCCAGCTACTTGGGATGCTGAGGCTGAAAGATTTGCAAATTCAAGGCCGACCTGGGAAACTGAATGAGACTTGCCTCAAAATAAAACAAAAAGGTCTGGAGGTAGAGCACAGTGATAGAGCACTTGCCTAGCATGCAAGGGCCCTGGGTTCAATTCCCAGTACTGGGTACACAACATTTTTTTATATGGTGTTAGGTAAAGGTCAAGATTCACTCCCTTGCACACGGATATTCAGTTTTCCAGCACGATTTACTGAAGACAGGACGGTGGGGTGGGGTCAGCGGAGGCCACGCGCTCACCTTCAGCACCAGGACTTCGAGCATCCTGCCCGCGCCTCCTCTGGCCTGCAGGCCCGCTCCTCCCAGACGACTGACACTGTCCAGCCCGCGCTCTGCCGTGCTCCCCGCCCTACCCGCAGAGTTTGGCGCCTCCGCCCTACGTCGGGGCGCGCCCGCCGCTGGACCCAGGTTCCAGCCTCCTCTCCACCACTCGCCCACGCGGACCTCCGGGCCACTGGCCGCCAAGTCCCAGAGTCGACGCGCTGGGTCCTCCAACTCGACGCCGCCGCGGTTGCGAAAGACACGCTGGAAGCTTCTTGCGCGCCTCGCCTCTGGCCTCCCGCACACCCACGGCGCCGCCGACACCAGCCCACGTGCGCAACGGCCCGCGTCGGCCCCCACGCAGGCCTCGAGGTGCGCAGAGACCACGTGAGGCGCCCAACGGCCGGCCTGCGCGCAGCGCGGCGGAGCGGCGGGGCGGGCGGACGGAGTACGTCCCCGACTGCGCGGCTTCCGAAAGCCAGGGCCTCGCCTGCCTTCCATCTTACCTGTCCCGAGGAGCCTGCGGGCCCAGCCACTTGGAGGTCGCTGCGTTCAGGGAGGCCCGGGCCCTCCCGCCCTGTCTAGACCAGCGTCCTCCGCTTCACCACCCCGGGGGTCCGTCCTTAAAAGATACCCGACTCTCGCTCTCAGCCTTGGTGGTGAGGAGGACTCCTGGTCCGCCAGGATCCCGGGGTCCAGGGGCGTCCCTGACAACATTCCCACCTGCCCTGCACCTTCCGGAAAGACTGCGCCCGGTCTTTGCAGCCACCTGGCCTTCCAGTGGAACCCAGCTGAAGAAAGGTGCTGGTCTAGATGATTTTCCAGCTCAATCCTTTTTTCTTTTATTTTCTCCCGCCCACCTCTTCTCCCCCTTTTTTTCAGGGCCTGGCGTGCGCTAGGGAAGTGCTTTACCACTGAGCTACATTTTTGAGATGGGTTCACGCCAGGTTGCCCAGGCTGGCCTTGACCTCAACTTTATGCCACAGCCTTCTGAGTAGCTGGGATGGAAGAAGTATGCCACTGTTCCCTGTTGTAGCTGAATTCTTTATTTAAATTATGAGAAAGCAAAATTTCTTAAGTTTACACTAAAATGAGCTCATTTGCAAAGAGAACCAACAAAGAGGCTCCAGTTGAGACAGGGACTGTGGAAATTGTGTGGCCATGTATTTAAGAACAGAGTGATCACATAAGCTTCCAGTTTTAAAACTTAATTTCACAAGGTGCCACAAAATATATGCTTAAAATCTCAGAAGGATGGTCGGAAAGGATAGGTGTGACTGCCAGGAGAAAAACAGCTTCACCTGAAAGCACTAAACCTTATCAAAAGAGATGGGAAGCTGGCTGCAATGGCCTACAGATGTAATCTCAGCTACAGGGGAGGCTGAGGCAAGAGGATCACAAGTTCAAGTCCAATCTCGGCAATTTAAGGAGACCCTGTCTCCAAATTGCTGGGAATATAGCTCAGTGGTAGAACCCTACCTCACCCTCTCACCCCCACCCCTTGTTTTAAATCCCCAGTATGAAAAAAAAAAAAAAAAGTGGGGGCAATAGGATTTGATTCTGGTCAGTCCCAGTGACAGTTCCAATCCCTAAGCCCTGGATCCAGGTTTATACCCACTTGGTAGCATATGACTGCCTTTTTTTCTTTTGACTAGATCCCATGCTATAGTATGTTGTTTTGCAAATTATTTTCACAACATGAAATGAAAACACATGCCAACTAGGCATTTATTCTTTAGTTTATAAGTGTAGTTTCAAGAGATGTGTGATATCATAGAAGACAAGTTTTTCTGGCTGTGTTTTCCTGGACAGTTTAGCATGGAGTAGTGATAGAATGAAAGAGGAGGAGCAGGGATAAGTCTTCATCTCTCTGCTTCTGTACCTGAGGCCCTGGTAGCCATCCAGTAAGAGTCCATATGATGAATGCCACAAACACAAGCTAGACTCTAAAACAACTTTTCAGCGGCTTTATTTGGGGCTGCTGGGGCAGTGTGTCACTGCAGATAGGAAGTCATGTGATCAGTTGAAGGAAACGAAATATTTTTGTGTCTCCCCACCCCCCAACGTACTAGAGATTGAACCCAGGGTCTCACACATGCTATGTGAGTGCTTTGCCATTAAGCTACACCTCCAGCCCTTTATACTTTATTTTGGGACAGGATTTCACCAATCTGTCCAGACTGACTTGTGATTTCTTCTGCCTCAGCTTCCCAAGTCACTGGGATTACATGATTGTGCCACTATGCCTGCCCAGAAAGAATTCCTGGGGGACAAGTTTCATTCAGATTAACAATATTGAGTTAAACTATCTTTTCTATGAAAAAAAAAGTCACATAATTTTTTTCATGATATCTAAAACCACTCAGTCATAGTAACTCCAGTGAAAAGTGTAGCAGGGTTAGGGGTAAAGTTCTTCCCCTGCTTATGGCACTAAATAGTTGCATGAATCTGTATCTGTTTTCTCACTTGAAAAAATCATGGCATAAACAGGTTCCTTTGGTCCCTTCCCTGTAACATTCTAGTATTCTCTGAGAATGAAAGACTAAGCCCAAGGCTAAAAGTCATTAAGGAGAGTTATAATAGACTCAGAAGCCAGAAGGAATGACAACTATGTCTGTGGTTCTCATACTTCACCTATCGGGACCATTTACTGAAACAAGTAAAATTGCCTTTAAATCAGTGTTTCTCAGCCTTGGCCAGACAACTCTTTGTCTCAGGCAGGTTATTTAACTGCATCCCTGGTCTCTCTCCACTAGATGGTGGTAGTATCCCCTCCTCAGTTGTGACAAACAGAAATGTCTAGAATTGACCCAAGGGCGAAAGTGCCCAGGTAGAGAACCACTGCTCTAGATATATTCCTCTAATCAGGATTAAATAATACACATAAGTTTTATGATTGTCTTTATTTGGTTGTTAGAAAAACTAAGAAATTTCATGAAATAAGAAATCCATTGTGTTATGCATAATATAGTCAAATATAATGAAAAAGAATTGGTGTTTTTAACTATTAATTCCCACCTTTAATCAGCAAAAAAATTATACCTCTTTAAAGGAGGTGAAAACACTATCCATATTAATCATACTGAAAATAAACCTAATTTAACATTCTCTCTGAACTCTGTATTTATTAACCAGCACTTAATAACATAAAAGTTGATAGGTCTGTATGGCTTCATATTTCTTTAAAATATTAACTAAAATAGATTTCCAATTTGGAAAACATAATATATTTACTAATGCCACTTGGTTTTAAACAGAATTGGATCTTAGTAATCAAGCTAAAGACAATAGCAAGAAAACAATGGCATTATCACTTGAAGGGTGTCTCAGTCTAGTGTTTGCCATCCAGTCAGGCACTCTTAAATTAATTTCAGCAGAAAGTCTAAGAAATTCATGGTTCAACTTCCAAAGCACATCAGGAAAAATGCTAATATGTGGGACAATTGAAACAATGGCAATAGAACATCTTATTTAAACTTTTAGGCTAATAAAACAATATAGAAGTAGGCCCCCTTGTGACTTTTTTTTTCTCATTTTGGTAACATATCAATTTTATACTCACTGCATACTGAATGATTAAAAGAATAAAATAAGCAAGAGAGCTCCACAACACACTTAAAAGAAGAAACACTCCATGATAGCTTGCACAGGCACCAAGTTATATAATTTTCAAACAAGTTTAGTCAACCCTCTTAATCATTCCCACAACTGAAATAGTTTAGTTAGAAAGAAGTAGCTCCCTACAAATGGCTCTTATTTATTATGTAGTTCTTAGGATAAACATGTTTACACTTTGACTGAACAGTCACATGGACCTCATAAAGATGGCGATTGTGTATCACTATTCGGTGAAATTTCTTGCCTTCCTTCATGATTTCTTTAGTTGTTTTTTCAGTAGACAAAGACTTTTCTACATAGTCTGAATCTTCTAGGTACAGCTCATCTCCTGAAAAATAATAAAAACTTAAATCTATAAAGTATCATTTTATAAATCATTCAAATATATTAATGACATATAAATTGGTATTTATTTTTATCTATTTCATGCATTTGGAACTGAGTTGTTAAATAACCCTAGTTTTACAAGTTTATATTAATTTTTTCTCATATTTTTAATATTTTCACCCTCCCCTTATCCTCTACCCAAGAATTTTCTTTGAGTACATAAAAATTTCTGACTGAAATGTTCTTCATTGTGAACTGTAAATTTTATATTAGTTCATGACTCTCTTTAGTGTATTAAATACTGACATTGATATTGATCTTGACAGTCATACTTTTGATATTTCTATATGGGCTGTTCTGATAAGGTTAATTTAAAGAAGTTGTTATTTACATCAAAACTGCCAAACTATAGGTTGAGTAACAAATCTTATCACTATTCTCAGGAGCTGAGCAGGCAGATATAAAGTATGATAGGTCACAAAATCCCTGCCACAAAACTGAGTTCGCCAAACTACAATCGATCATCAACAAATATCCTACCTCAATTTTATACTCATGGCATACTGTATGGTTAAAAGACCATAACTCTGGTTGGCAGCTTACAAGTTCTCATAATTCAAAATTATGGTTCAGGTTGTGGCTCAGTGGTAGAGCACTTATCTGGCATGTGTGAGGCACTGGGTTCAATCCTCAGCACCACATAAAAATAAACAAAATAAAGGTATTGTGTCCATCTACAACTAAAAAAATTTTAAAAAAATAAACTGTACAAAGTGAGATAATGCATGAGAAAGAAATCTGTCAATGTCTACAAAATGTACTTATAAGCTGGGCACAGTGGCCCATGCCTGTAATCCCAATCGCTCAGGAGGCTAAAGCAGAAGGATCTCAAGTTCAAAGCCAGCTTCAGCAAAAGCAAGGTGCAAAGCAACTCAATGAGACTCTGTTTCTAAATAAAATACAAAATAGAGCTGAGTTGAGTGCCCCTGAGTTCAATCCCCAGTAACCCCCCAAAAATATACCTATATAAATGTGTATGTGATGTCATTCAGAATTTCTGGTTATATAAATAACATTGATGTTTTACAGACTTTGGCTCTATTTAATTAATACCTTGTAGGCTACACAACTTAACTGTAATTCATATCTCTGTGCTGGGTAATACTGCCAGACAGCCCAGTGACTGTGCATACTGACAAAATGTGTTGCTGCTTCACTGACTTACCAGGTAAAAGCTGGAGCATTCCATCAGCAGTTAAATATGTAATTGGCAGCCACCGTTCAGCCTCTTCTAAGGCACGATCCAAACAAAATTTGTGCAGGTCAGACAGAGAGGCAAAGTTTTTAAGTCGTCTTACTTCGTAGAACTGTGGGGGCGCCAGCCAAATTTCTTTTGATATGAAACTTTTAGTTGCCTCTGATGGAGATGACCACTGTGGAAGATAAAGGTAGGGCTTCCATCAAATAGACTGCTAGGTTAATGCATAGGATCTACTTATAATTTTATATCTTATATCATTCAAGTGCCTTGCTAGATCCCTCTGAGACAAAAAGAAACATTGGGGGAGGGTGTTGCAGTGGCACAAACAGTAGTCCCAGCTAATTGAGAGACTGAGGCAGGAGGATGGCTTGATTAGAGGGGTTTAAGACCAGCCTGAGCAACATAGCAAGACCTGCTCTATTTAAAAAAAAAAAAAAAAAAAAAAAGATCCAGAGAAGAAAGCTGTGCTGATCCTCTTAAGAGGTTGATTACTGAGCACTGACCCCAGCCAAGGTCAGTGAACCAGGACGGATCACTAAGGATTGAGTTGGGAGTTGTTCAGCATAAAAGGAAGAAGATGTGGAAGGGTTATAGTGGTTCTGTTCATTCCCAAAGGAAGACTGAAGGGTAAACTTCTGACAGTGAACTGAGAATTTGATGCCTTCATTCCTCCCATAAACAGGTACCTTGGCTTGGCCTGAGGAAATGATGGACAAAACTCTAAGAGACACTATAGGGCTTTTAGCCACCAAAATACATCATGATGTATGACACACACTACAATGGTGGTGAAGAATCAGGAACAATAGGAGCTTTCAAGAAGGTCAAGAAGCAGCCTCAGCCTACAGTCCGGAGACTAATAACTGTAGGGTTTCAGCCAGACAGGGTCTGCCCATTAAATTCAAGTGGTGCAAGCTGCTCTCCTGCCACAGCTTTCCTTCACAGACCCTGAGATTAAAAGAGTGACTCAGGAGTACAGAAAAACTCCCAAAGGCCCTAGCCACTGATAATCAAACCCACCCACCATCCCTCTCTCCCTCCCTTCCTTCTCTCCCTCCCTTCCTCTCTCCTTTTCCCTCTCCCCCCTCCTTTTTTTTTTTCTCTTTCTATGGTACTAGGGATTAAACACAGGAGTGCTTTACCACGGAGCCGCATCCCAGCCCTTTTTTTATTTTGAGATCAGGGCTTGATAAATTGCCCAGGCAGGCCTGGGTAATCTGTGATCCTCCTGCCTCAGCAGCCCAAGCAGTTGAGATTACAAGCATGTATCACTGCACCTGTTTCTTAACTGACATATGACACAGTAATAGTTTTTGAGAAAGCCCAGTCCATTCCACTTGGGCCACAGCCCACCCTCTTCTAGTTTAGCATATAAACTCCTTCCTCCTGCCCTGGAATGCAGGGAGTCCTCTTGTCCTGCTGCAGCCCAAGACATGTGGAAGCTCCTAATAAATTCCAACTTTGTGCAATGCCGGATCTGTCTGCCTTTTTCTTTGGTCTTTAGGCACCTTCCTCTTTGGTGGCCAGTTCTCATACACCAGGACTGAGTTTTTCTAACGGCCCCCCCACCCCAAACTCAGAGTTAAAACTGACCTCTGCCTTAGGTGACTATGGATCAAAGGTTTGTGAACCTATATGTGCTCAATTATCCCAAGAGGCCTGATAAATCTTTACATCCCTTTGGCTCTGGTAGAGGGCCCTGGTAGAGGGATCATTCTGAAGTTGGCCAAGGCTGCAATTTGAAAATCAAAGCTCTGGGTCTCCAAGTTACCCAATTGTTAAGTTATTTCCAGGGCATTCTGATTTCTCTGTCCTGTGAGTTGACAACAGGCAAGATGATAGTCATCTTCCACTTAATCCAACCTCTTCAGATTATTCTAGACCATGGTTATGATAAGTTATCATTTATTGCTTACTTGTTACCAGTAAAGCTCTGCTCAAAATGCTTTATATAAAATATTTCTAGTCCTTAGGATAATGCTGCAAAGTCCCATTTTACAGATGAGAACATTTAGGTAGCTCCTCTAACTAGAAAATCTTGGTTTCAAACTCTTGGGGTATCTGACTCCAAATTCCACTGTTTCTACTAGATTTTTGAACCTCAACACAACTGACACCAGGCCAAAAGTCTTTGTTGAGGGCTGCTGTGTACTCACTGAAACAGGGATACCAGCAGCATCCTTGGGCTCTACCCACTAGATGGCAGTAACAACCCCCTAATTGTGACTACCAAAAAAAAAAGGCTCCAGACATTGCCAAGTGTACCCCTGGATGGGGTGGGCAAATCACCCCCATTTAAGAACCACTCATCTAAGCTAACTTAAGAATTACTAGCCGGGTATGGTGGTGTACATTTAAAGCACCTGCACTGAGGAAACTGAGGTGGGAGAATCATTGACTCCACAAATTCAAGACCAGCCTGGGCAAGATAGTGAGGTCCATCTCAAAAAAAAACTGTTTATTGGAACTTCCTCTTCCACACATGAGAGTTTGAATTATACTCCTTTGGCCAATTGAATAGTAGAGCACAGGATAAAATCTATGAAACAACTATTTCCAGACACTGAAAAAAGCAGTACTATAATTTCTCAGAAAAGAAAAATGAATGAGGTGAACCCTACCATTGTCTGGAGTTTCTGCCTAAAAATATCGGACAAGGAGAGAGAACCTAATCAGAGTCTAGGATTCTTGAAGACTTGAGAAGACAGAAATCAGAATTTGGGAAGCTCACACAGGCTAGCATTTGGACACAGTGGACCTAAGAGGAAGGATCTACACAGAATAGAAAATCTGTACAGAGCACCCTTGAATCTTTGCTAAACACACATCTGGCCATGCAGAAGGTGAAACGATATGGTATTGGAAAAGATGATATCCAAAGAAGGAACGACTGGGGCTGTGACTGTGGCTCAGTGGGGCTGTGACTGTGGCCTGGCATGCATGAGGCAATGGGTTTGACCCTCAGCACCACATAAAAACAAAATAAAGGTAGTGTCACCCACAACTAAAACATTAAAAGGGGGGAGGAGGGGGGAGGAGAGGGAAGAAGAACAACAATTACCTAAAAGCTTAAGACTAAATTCCCAGAGCTCATTTAGGGCCAAGAATTTTTCAAATTCCCTCCAACGATTCAATATAAGGAGCATTCAAATAAACTCCCTACCAGTCACACAATGGAAGTGCGGCTAAATTGGCTCTAAATTAAAGGATACTGTAGATACACTCAAAAATCATTTAAAATAAATCTCAAAAGTATTAAGTTGTAGTAAATGTTGCCAACACCATTTAAAGAAATATGGCAAAATCGAGCACTTAACAACATAAAACGAAAATTTCCAACATCTAATAAAAAATTATAAGACATGACAAAAGTAGGAAATGTGATCCATAACTAGAAGAAAATCAGTCAATATAAAAGACCAAGAAATTACAAATAACATGGAGTTGGAGAGAAGTTTATTTTTTGTCTGTACTTCAGATTGAATCCAGGGATGCTTTACCACTAAGCTATATCCCTGATCCTTTTTATTTTTTATTTTGAGACAAGATCTCACTAAGTTGCTTAGGCTGGTCTTGAACTTGCAATCCTCTTGTCTCAGCCCCTGAATCACTGAAGTATTATTGGTCTGAGCCACTGCATCCAGCCAGAAAAGATCATTACCCCGCCCCTAATTATAAGTATGTTTCACTGGTTCAAAGCTGTAAATTAAAATATCCACATGATGAGAGAAATAGAAAATATTTTTAAATAATTAAATGGAGCTTCTATAGGTGAATAATATCTAAAATGAAAAATCCACTTGGGTTGTATTTATAGCAGATTAGATACTTCACAAGAGAGTAAATTTGAAAACATAGCAATAGAATGTATTAAAATTAAATACAGAGGAAAAAAGATTGAAAAAAGCAAATGAGGCATCAATAACCAATGGAACATTATCAAGTAGCCTCAGATATGTAACTGAGCCAGGCATGGTGGTGCATGTCTGTAATCCAAGGGGCTGGGGAGGCTGAGGCAGGAGGATCACAAGTTCAAAGCCAGCCTCAGCAACTTAGCAAGGCCCTAAGTAACTCAGTGAGACCCAAATAAAATACAAAAAAGGGCTGGGGATGTGGCTCAGTGGCTAAGTAAGTGCTCCTGGTTTCATTCCTTATTACCTGTGGGGACAAGTGCATGGAGTACTGCATACATGGTATAAGTTAAGGGCGTCTGAGTGGCAGGTCACTCCTCTCATGCTAGGTGCCTAAATAGCAGGCCACTTACCCCTTAGGCACAGCTCTTGGCGTGAGGCCATGTGTTGGAGTCCCTGTACTTGCTCCACAGCCCACTCCTCGTTTGACCGCTGCAAAGACAGCTAGCAGAAATTGCATTGGTGGCTGCCTGTAAACTGCTTAGCTACTGCCTGAATATATATATACATACTGCACAATAAACTCATATCTGTTTCCTGCTTGTCTCAAGAAGTCTTGATTAGCGACTCCTGTTCCATGGACCCCCTTGCTGGACAAGAGAGAGCCCATGCAATTACCCATTACAAAAAAAAAAAAAAAATGTGTAATTTAAGTCACAAAATAGAGCGAGATGTGAAACATTTGAAGAAATGAACAAGTAAGAAAAGATAGGGACTAGAGGGGCAGGTTCTTCAATGGTAGAGAGAGCTTGCCTAGCAGTGGTAAGGCTCTCTGTCCAATGCTCAACATGGAAAGGAAACAGAAGAGAAGGAAAGGAGAAGAGGAAGATAGAAAGAAAAGGAGTGAGAGGGAAAGCAATGCACATCAGAATAAAATTGCTGAAAACTAATTACCAAGAGAAAGTATTCAAAGTAGCCACACACACCAAAAACACACTAAATGTAGGGGGCAAATGATTAATAGTAACAGCAGACTTCTCATAAAAAATGTATGTCAGCCAGAATATAATTAAGAAACATCTCTAAGTACTGAAAGGGAAAAACAAAATCAAAAAACGGTCCACCTACAAAATGTGCATCAAAAGTAAGAGTAAAATATAAAGAATTTTTCTGACCCAAAAATTTAGAGGATTGTTAGAAGAGCTGGACATTAAGAAATATTATAGAAAATCCTTTATAGGAAGTTATTTTTGTTGTTGTTGTTGTTTGGTACCAGGTATTGAACCAAGGGGCACTTAACCACTGAACCACATCCAGATCCCTTTTTTATATTTTAATAAAGACAGGGTTTTGCTGATTTGCTTAGGGTCTCGCTAAATAGCTAAGGCTGACTTTGAACTCACAATCCTCCTGCCTCAGCCTCTTGAGTCACTGGGATCTATAGGAAGTTCTTCGGACAAATAGATGGCCAGGTGTAGCTTTTGACCAACATAAAGAAATGAAGAGCAATATACATGGTAAATATGCAGGTAAACCCAAAAAGACATTTTTCCCCTTATTTCCAGTCTTTAAAAGATTGACTAAAACTGTCAAGGTGGCACACACCTGTAATCCCAGAAACTTAGGAGGCTGCAACAGGAAGATTGAAAGCTCAAGGCTAGCCTGGGAAACTTAGTAAGAACTTGTCTCAAAATTTTAACAAAGGTCTGAGAATATAGTTCAGTGGTAGAGTGCTTGCACAAGGCTTCTGGTTCAATCCCTAGTACTGAGAGAGAGAGAAAAAAGACTTGTCTACTGTCTAAAGCAAAAATAACTGTGCAGTTAATAGAAATAAAAGTATGAAAACTGCACAAAGGAAAGGAGGGGAGAAATAGAAGTTCAGTTGTCCCTTGGTACCTGTGGGGGCTTGATTCCAGGACTCTTCACCCTCAGATTCCAAAATCTGAAGATGCTCAAGTCCTTTGTATAAAATGGTGCAGTGTTTGCATATAACCTACACACATCCTCCTGTACTTATTTGCTTGTTCATTTATCGGTACTTCGTTTATTGGGATTGAACCCAGGGCTGCTTTACCACCTGGTCCCTGTGGATGCCCTACCTGGCAGCCCACCACCTCCGACAGGTCGGGATAGACCGGCGGCGGCTCGCGCAGGCAGCACAGGAAGAATGCCGTGTCGAAGCGCCGACTGCCACCGCGCACGAATGGCGTGAGCCAGGCGCTCCAGTCGTGCAGCGCCCAGATGTCGGGAGTGCAGTCCAGGTGCTCGCACAGGCGCAGGAAGTGGCGCGGGTCGCGGCGGACACGCGCGCGCCAGGCATCCAGGCCCTGCGGCGGGGCCAGGGCAAGGCCGGGCTCCCGAGCCGGACCTGGGGGCTCGGAGCCCTGCAGGGAGCCCCTGGGCCGCAGCAGCAGCACCCCCGCCTCCTCGAAGGTCTCGCGGATGGCGCAGATGCGCATGGCGACGTCATCTGGCAGTGCCCCGGCGTGTCCGTCGGCGGCGTCGGGCAGCACGGGGAAAGAGGCTCTCCGGGGCGGCGCTGGGCCCAAGCCGAAGCGCGGCTGCCCTTGGTGCTCGGTGAAGAGGTGCAGCCAGTCCGCAGAGCGATCTGCCGCGTCCAGCACGCCGCCCGGGAAGACGTGCGCACCGGGCATAAAGCCTTGGTTCGCGGAGCGCTGCAGCAGCAGCAGCCGGAAGCCTTCGGAGGGCGGCGGGGGCAGTGACCGGGCGGCGGCACCCGGGCGCGTCCAGCCGGCAGCCAGCACTACGGTGGCCGCCCGCCGCCAGACGCTAGAGCCCGGCCGCAAGGGGCCGCTCATGATGGGCGGCGGCGCGCGGGTTTGCAACTCGGGTCCTGGCGCGGGCGGGAGCTCCTGGACAGGTTTGGAGCCTTGCATCAACCCCGGCGACCTTACGGTTTTTAGGAGGAATACCGGATTCTCGGTGAATTTGGTTGTGCAGCCTTTACCCGCTCGGCGCCGGCCTATGGGAGGGGCGTAACCCAGCGCGACTCGGCGCCGCCTCGAATGCCTTCGGGCAGAGACAGCCACTCTCGCGGGACCAGGTCTGTTAGCCGCCAACAAGCGAAGTCATTCACAGCTGAAAGGAGGGCTGCATGAACCCCGTTCGGGACGCTTAAGTGCAAGAAGGCTTAAGGGTGTACATAACCTACTGTAGTAAGAATGGGATGGAAACCCAGGCCTGATGACACCTACCTGTCCCACTAAAATCTGAGACCTATAGGACTTTCTTCCTTAAACTAAGGTGGAACCGTGAGTGTTACCTTTGGGGAAGGAAGAGAGCTTTACAAACTCAGAAGAACCACGCTAATGAAAAATGAACTGATGAACCAGATGCCAAATTGTACATTTCTGTGCAGCCTGAATGGGAAAGGTCCTTCCTGAATACTTGTTTTATCTTCCTGGATTCTTTTTAGTGTTAGGGCATCTGAAAATCTCCTTAGGCAACTTAGGTCATTTGATTTGATTGGTTTTCTCTTCTTTTCTCTATCTTTTGGAGAGAGTTGGTTTAAATCTGAGTCTTCTCTTTTCACAAATCCTTGTCAGTCAACAACAACATCTCCCACAATTGCTATTAAAATTGATCACACATTGTTTAGGTTTTGTGAGAGTTAGACTATACCATGGAGCTTCATTTACAAACTTTCATTGTAATATGGGATTTTTTTTTTTTCCTGAGGAGAATCCACAGATGGCACTGCAGTATTTAGGTTGATTTTTGTCAGGATGATTTCTAATGCACATGCCTGAATACTGACTATATCCCCAGAAACAAAAGGAGGTCACATGCTGAAAAAAGCACATGTAGAGGCCAAAGGAGAACACATGCCATACTGAGAGGATCTGCCAACTTCTATCCACCTTGAGTCTGTGTGTTAGTCAACTTTTCATTGCTGTGACCAAAACATGAGCAACTGGAGGAAAGAGGGGCTTATTCTGGCTCAATTTCAGAGGTTTCAGTCCATGGCTGACTGGCTCCATTGCTCTAAGCTTGTGATAAGCCAAAACATCATGGTGGAAGGGCATGGGAGAGGAAAACTTAGCTCCTGGCATTCAGGAATGGGGGTGGTGGGAGGGGCCAGGGACAAGATATAGTCCTCAGTGATCTGCTTCCTCCAACCATGCCCCACCTGCCTACACTTTTCAACACCTCCCGAGGTCCATTCAATTATTAATTCATCCAGTATTAGCCCACTGATGAGGTCAGAACCCTTATAATCCAATCATTTCCTCAAAGTCCCACCTTCTGACATTGCTGCATTGGGAACCAAATCTTCAACATATGAGCTTTCGGGGAAATTTCCATATCCAAAGCATAACAAAGACTAGATACAATGTGATAACTGGTTAAATGTGCAGAGCAAAGGAAGGAATTAAGCTTGGGAGACTGAAGTCACATTCTTCAATTCTATGAGTAATGATAATCCTAGGAATAATAATATTTTCTAAGCCCTTACTATATGTGAGGCACTCAGAACTTTGTAAGTATCAACTATATAATGCTATATAATTTATAATCCCTATAAATTTAAAAGTTAACACCATTTTAAAGATGGCTAACTATCTATGGTGGGGATTAAGTATCAGGAAAGGACACACTATTCACTACAAACCAGCACCATGGTTTTGTGGGTGTGAATTTTTTTTTTTTTATATGAGCTGGTTTTCCCAGAGTATGATCACTCCTGAGTGAAATGATCAAGCCCTGGAGTATAGAGCAAAACGACAGAAATGAAATCTTAACAAAGACAGAACTGTCTCCAAAACCCAGATGCTGCCTTGTCTCAGAAGACTCTGAAGATGCAATATGGGTTTATGTATGGAACCAGACACCACAAAAACTCAGTTATTTGAACTGTACCCAAGAATCAGAACAAAGGCAAGGAGCAGTCCCTGACCATCAAAAGAGATAGATAAGAGCACATTCAAGTGTGCTCTGCTTAAGAACAAATTTTGGATATATTGCTTACCTATTGCTGCTAACAAATTACTCCGAAACTTGGTGGCTGAAAACAATATTTATTATCTCACTATTTTTGTAGATTTGGAATTTGAGAGCATCCTGGCTAGTGGTTGTGATTCAGTATCTCCCATGGTAAACACGCCAGCTGGGGTTTGACTGGGGCTGGTGGTTTTAATTCCTCAATAGCTTGTTCACATGGATATTGGCAAGGGTCTTTCCATAGGGGCTACTTGAATGACTTCAGGACTTGGTAGTTTACTTTCCTCAGAGAGAGTGATCCACGAGAGAGGAAGAAACCATGCATGATGCCTTTTATGACTTACCCTCAAAAATCGCACGTCATTTCCGCGGTGTTCTGTTGTTACATTGGCCAGCTCTAGTCAATGTGAGAGGGAGAAAAAAATACACGGAGATCGAAGTCATCTTGGAGGCTGACCACTATAGGGTTAAAAAAAATTTGGAACTGTAACAAGGAATTTGACTCTTCACTTTTGCCTGAAAAATGTCCAATGCGTGACTAAAACCAGGGTTAAATACTTGGCATCTCTGCCTCCATTTTGCATCTGTCTCCTCTGCTTTGAGTCATCTGGGTTACCAGGAACAAAGTCTGATCAATTACTATCTTGACTTGAAGCTACTCCCTCCCTTTCAGATAACAGCAGCTTTCTATCTCAGACAAGGCCCCAGTCACTAATCCTGAGATAATAGTGGACATACCATATCTGATCAAACTTACCTGGTTTATCGGCTGTGAAAACCCCCAACCCTGGCCCTCATTCCCCTTTCAATAACACCTTGAAGTTATTGTCAGTCCCTCAAAGAGAGGACTAAGAACGTGGGCCCCCTTGTCTCTCTAGCTACACTGATTAAATTCCTTTCATGCCTCTGGCCTAGCATTCTGGGAACAAATCTATCTAAACATCAGAAGAGAACAGGTAAATTCCTCTGTAACCTTTGACTCAAACTGTAGACACATTAAAGAAAAAGATTTGATCAACTTGGCTCCCTATATATTTTGACAAAAAATACTAGGGCAGAGTTTATGACATATGATAAACCTGGAAAAAATGAGCAGATGACCTGGAAAATCTGTCACAAAGGATTAGAGAGTTTTTTGGGTGGTTTTGTTTTTTATGGATAAGAAAAAACCTAAGACTATGTAGAAAAATGGGCAAGAGAGCCAGGCACAGTGGTACACACCCAGAGACTTGAAGGTGGAGGTAGGAGGATTTCAAGTTCAAGGCCAGCCTCTAAAACTTAGTGAGGGGGCTGGGCTTGTTGCTCAGTGGTAGAGCACTCTCATGGGCAAGGCCCTGGGTTCCATCCTCAGCACCATATAAAAATAAAATAAATAAATAAAACAAAATTATTAAGTAAAAAACTTAGTGAGGCCCTAAGCAACTTAGTGAAACCCGTATCAAAAATAAAAAGGGCAGGATGGGATTGTAGCTCAGTGTAGAGTGCTTGCCTAACATGTGTGAAGCACAGGGTTCAATTCTCAGCACCACATATAAATAAATAAAGTTCTATCAACAACTAAAAAATGTTAATAATAAAAACTTAAAAATAATAAAAATGGCTGGGGATATAGTTCAGTGGTAAAGTACCCATGGGTTAAGTCCCCAGTACCAAAATTTTAAAAAAGGGCAAGAGATGTGAAAGACAGTTCATATTTATTTACTTAAGTTATTTACTTAAGGCCATATGGCCAGCAAGTGTTGGATCTGTCTTCAAACCTACCAACATGTGTTTTTCCTGTGACATGGCACCTTGCCAGCTGCTCCAGGCCTGACAATAAATGCATACAGCCATCCCTAATGAGCACTACCAATTACCGTGTGTCACTAGGTCACAAGAGAGTGGGTTTATGACAACAGTTGCTCACTTCGTAGCTAAAAACATGTGACTCCTCATTCTTTAAATGATCCACCCTAGCTGTCATTACAATAAGAAATGTTCTTATTTGATTTATTAGAACATGCATAACCTTGAATAAAAACAAACAAACTTTCTAAACAGGACATGTTACTGTATTTCAATCTCAAGTTCATCAAGTCTAAACTTATTCCTATTATTCCTTATTTATCAGGTTTTTGTCAGTTTAAAAAAGGGGATGGAAAGAGGCTGTGATCTATAGGGCGAGCCACGGAGAGATAATTTCAGTTTGAAAGCTCACTAGTTACAGTTGTGTTTTTTTAACCTGTCCCAAACAAGCCAAGTCACTGGGGATAAACAAAATTCACCAACAGATGACCAGTAACATCCTGAACTCCAAGACTCAGCACATGAAAATAATTTCTCATAATATTATTAAAGAAGAGCTTTAAGAAAATTCTGCTATGGTTTGGATCATGGTTCAACTGTGTCCCCCAAGGGTTCATGCGTTAGAAGCTTGATTCTCAGTGTGTGATGCTAGGAGGTGGTGGAATCTTTAAACAGTGGGGTCCAAGCCAGGCGTGGTGGTGCATAATCCCTATAATCCCTAGTGTCTCCAGAGGCTGAGGCAGGAGGATCACAAGTTCAAAGCCAGCCTCAGCAACTCAGTGAGGCCCTAAGCAACGTAGTGAGACCCTGTCTTAAAATAAAAAGTAAAAAGGACTGGGGATGTGGCTTAGTGGTTAAGCTCCATTGAGTTCAATCTCTGGTACCAAAAAAAAAAAAAAGATGGGGCACAGTAGGCAGTGATTAGACACTGGGGACACTGCCCTTGGAAGAGATTAATCCCAATTAGTGCCCTAGAGAGTATTTAGTTCTAAAAGTGTGAGCCTTATACCTCCCCATTCTCTGGCTCCTGTCTCACCATGTGAACTCTCCCTCTTGCATGTGCTCCAGCCAT